CAGCTTGGTTTCTCGACTTGGCACTGGACAGAGGGACTGCCCAGCTCCTTGCCTCGTAACGGTTTCGACGTGGGTCAATTCACCAGCGAAGAGCGTTTCCCTATCTTGCTGCTGGCTGGCGCTCAGGTCCCCATCTTGTTTTGCTTCGACACCTCTACAGTGTGTGGGTGTGGCTTCGTCCCAACAGGCTCAGCAACCATGTGGCAGGCACTTATATTAGGTGCAAGTATCATCGAGATCCCCGCGCTCACACCTCGTCGTCTGCAGGCTTTATCCGGCAAAACAGAGGAGGAAGGAGGATCTGCAATGGATAGAAAACGAAGGCGACGAGGCCGGACCATGCATCTGCCCAGCACTGATGCGTGCTTTTTCTCCCGGGGCTTCCAGTTTCTTCGGTGGATTCGTCTAACCGGCCCGCTGCAAATGTGGCTCGACATGGCGTCAACTGCTTGACTTCAGCTTCGCTCACCTCGCTGCGCATGCCGATATGTCGCGTACCCTCGGACAAGTCGTCATCATGCCAGTATGCTATCACCTGTCGTATGAGCTTATCGAGATGACGGCTCCTGGGATGACACCGGCGATCTGGCACAAGATACGGGGTGGGTTTTTAACATAAGTCTGCAGCAGAAAAACCATTTGCCCCCCTAAAGCCAAGAAGGAAGTACAAATGCCAGTTGCGCGTCAACTAAGCGAGCAAGGGGCGGATAATCTGCCTTGTGGGACGCATGCCGAAGCCCGCATTGTTAGAAGAGCATGGTGGGCTGTGCCAATCTCACCAAGTCGGCCTGCTCGTTCTTTTCGCTTGAGTTGAGCCCTCACTGGTGGTGCTCCAGCACGCTGGTGGTGCTCCAGCACGCTGGTGGTGCTCCAGCACGCTGGTTATCATCCCACTCATTGACAGAGTAGTGGATCAAGTTATCCCGCAGCCTGGACCCTCCCTCTGTCTTGCCTGCCGGCCGATGGTTTGAACGAGCTCGTACCATCCCACAGCCAACAAGAGGAGTGCCTTTGCAGATCTGATTCGTCGAGGACCCAGTTCGGCGCTAGCCCTCGGTCACCTCGAAAGACATGTGCCAGTGCGCCACCGGTTTCTCCAACGAAGGGCTTCAAAAACAAGGTGCAGTCTCCAGGGTGAGCCGGGCAGTGGGTGAGCTTGACGTGGCTGACTGTGGGAGTTTGGGGGGGGGGGCTAATACATGTCGGCTTTGACAGAAAGGGAACAAATCGTCGGGAAGCAGCCCGCCTTTCGGGCAAGAGGCTCCATGAGAAACTGCTTCTCCCCGGGTCGAGTGGAAAATAGGAGGGAATCCGGCCCCCCTCCCCCCGTAGGACGGCAAGGCCAAGCAAGGCAGGGCCGTCTTTTGGTGGCATACATATGTCTCATATGTCATTGACTGCGGGAGCAACCAAGCGAGTTCCCAATCAACACGCGTGCAGATATACTACGTACTGTTGGCAACCTGCCGGTTCACTAGGTCAGGTTCGGGTACGAGGTTGCATGCGGTACTAGGTCCGGCGCGGTTCGCCCGAGTCTCGAATTCTGGCAGACCCTCGTTGCCAGCCTCACCGTGGTGGCCGACGCTTGTTTCCCGCCTGTCCAGTTGCCACGTGATGCGTGGTATCCGGCGAGTAATCGAGCGGACCCTTGGTAACGACCTACGTCAACGATACAGCCAGACGGTGGCCCGACAAACCCCTGGGGAGGCATGCCATGGGCGTTCGGACGTCTTGTTGATGTCGGTGAGGTTGGGCGGCGCGTCCAAGTGCGGTCTAGTCGGAGGGCGGAGATTCGCTAGTCTGTCAACTAACCGGTACGTCACCAGCGTTCCAGAATTATCAGTTCCTCTATCGCGGAGAATCTCCGTTGCTGGCGGCGGGTGCCCGACCAATGAGTGCCGCTCAGGGTGTCGCTCGCTCTCTTTTTGTGCAACGTCAAACTTTTCAAGGTTCGAAGCGACATCCAGCTGATCCTTAGGCTTGATCAATCCCGAGAAGGGGAAAAAAAAAGCAAGTTTTAGGTAACGGGTATCTTCTCCACCATCACCAAATTCCATCAAGATCGGGGGGGGTGGCAGCCACATCAAGGTCATCCTCGTACGTCCCCCCCGTTCACGTCCATTCCTCCACTGCTCGTGTTGTTGTTTCGCCGTCGTCGCCGCCGCTGACGAGCCCGATGCCGGGATCGCGGGGAAAGAGTAGGTATCTTCGGCCCCCACATCGTTCAGCTCCGTTACACACACCTTTTCCAACCGGTGCCCGCAGACCGACCTTTTTCCTCCGCCCGTCCGTCCGTCATCGTGGCGTAGACCAGTTCCAGCGAGGGAAGCCCCATACCATTTGCACCTTATGCTTTCGCTTCTTGCATGGCCGCCAGACTCAACGAGGCCTTAGCCTATCCTGCCAGGGGCTTGTCCAAAGCCCTTTGCACCCTTAAGGGTCCAAGACACAACCGGGGAGATGGAGAGGGAGGGGTGTGCCACTGGGGAGGATTTCGGAGGATTCGAAACGGTCTGGACTTTTCCATTTTGATTCCGACCTGCACTCGCCACCGCGGGAACCGGGAGGCCGTCAAAAGGACTCTGAACAGCCCTTTTGTAAGGCCAACCTGCATCGATGATCGCCTACCTTGCGTGCGATTGGGGATCCCCCTCACCCCAAAAGACACCCAACGGCGCCGGCGCATGATTGATGTCTCTGGCGCCGTTTCGACGATGCTGATGTCTGCGGGCAACTCGTGTCCGCAAAAAACACCAAAAAAACTGACTCCCTACGCCAAGGAAACGCAGTCGTCCCAGCCAATATCACCATCAAGGTCTTTTTTTTCGGGGGTTTTTTTTTTTTCGTTTCTTGATGTACACTTGCAATCAACTGGTACCCGTGTTGCCTTTTCCGATCCAGGTTGGCAGCTCCTGCCGAACGGCGAGACGAGGCATGCTGAAGCGCAACTAATAGAATGCCAGGGCTGGATAGTACTGCGCATGTTAACCTTACCTCTTGTGCCTTGGTTTATCATGACATGCATATCCCCACGGCGTCGTTCGCAAAACAGCCTCACTTGCGGCTTGGCTTGCGAGCATGGGCACGCTGCACAGATGCTAGCCAGGGGCGGCGGCGACAGAGAGGGGTGAGTGAGTGAGTGAGTGAGCTGGGCCTGGACTGGCTTGATACCGTCCCCCTTGTATGCCCTGGGGTTGTTATACCGGCATGCCGTCGATACCGCCGGCTGCCGGCGCGCTGCCGGCGCTGCTGCTGATAACGTCAGCCATTTGCATGGTGGCCTACCTGCGCGGTGCTCTCTTTTTCCGTGGCAATCGTCGAAATGCACTCACTCACCACCTTTTTCACGAATCGCGCATCACGATTCGCTAGCCCTCAGCCTCCGAGCCGATTACTATTCGGTCTCGACTTGGGAAAAGGCTACTTTCGCAACCCCCGGAACGACGGGGACCACGCGCGTGACACGTGGACGTTGGGTCGGAAAAATGAGGTGTTTCCGGACAGGAACCGCTACAAACCCGTCCACTTCCGCTCGCCCCTTCGAACCGCATGTTGTCGGATGACGGCGGATGTCACGCTTTCGTTCGCACAAAAGCATAAATCTTTTTCCCTCTCTCGCAAGGGAGGGGGGTCTGGGCGCTCGGCTCGGGTAACCGTGCGGACCTCACCATCCGTCGCCCCCTCCGTTCGCCGCGCCGCATGCGCGGGAGAGTCGTCCTGCCGCCATGGGACACGTCGGCTCTAGCCAGGCGTGCCACAGAATCTCGATTACGGAACCGCTTCCGAGGGTTTCGGAACGGGACGCGAAGGGAGACAACCAAGCCGTCTTGTTTTCCCGTCCGTCGTCGTGATAATCTTTCGTAAGCACTATTTATAAACTCTTCCTCTTTCTTTTCCTTCTCGTGTTTGTCAATACAACGACAATGAAAGAAATGCGCGCGGTCTTTTCAGAAAAATACCAAAGGGACCCCCCCACTTGCCGCATTCATCCTTCTGCATCTCGTCGCACCCCCAATGCGCCCGATGCCTAATGCCCACCCGTCCGCGTCAAATGAATCCCCCCATGTCGATACTGTGCAATACCATGTTCCACAATGGCATTCCCTGATTTCGGGGTACGAGGTTGAACGCCATCAGAGCCTGGGACCATCACGAGCCGGGGACGATCATGAACGGGAAGAATAGAAAAGGCCTTGCTGGCATCGGATTATAACCACATGTGCATTTCAACACTGGTCAGCTGCCTGTCGTAGTGAAGAAGCCATACAGACGGAGGACACGAGAAGGAGGAGGAGGGGAAAAAGAAGAGAGGTAGAAAAGGGCATGGCCAATCTGCCTCTCCCGATTGCCGGAGGCTTCCATTCATTTCTGCATCTGCGTCAAGAATCCATGGCGCAATTTGCGATGCGGGAAAGCCTGGTGATCCATCACAATTTGCATCTGCCGGACGTTGCCCATCCCAAGCGCACCAAGTGGGGGAGGGGGAAAAAAAAAGTCTATTCCGCGTAAAAACGTGCCTCCGATGATGCTTTCTATTCTGCATTTCTTGGACGCCGATAAAATCTAGAGCTAAATCAGGACCGCTCCCAATCAGCCCCTGCAAAGTCCGCCACCTCTTTGCCTGATATCCGGTGTTGACGAGGACTGCCGAGCGTTGTATGGTACTGACTTCAACGATGTGCGTGCCCTGGGTTTGAGCCACCAGAGCAACAGGCTGCTAGGAAAGAAAACTGTAGAGGCAGAATTTCTCCTCTGGCCACTCAAACGAAGAGGGGCTCGAACCACCCAAAACCCCCCAGCTGTAGCAACCGGCGGTGGAAGCAACCCTCGCGAAACCCGCGCATAATCGCGCGGTCTCTTTCCATCGTTCACTTCGATTTCGGTATTTCCCGCCTTCAGCTCGTCCAGGGTCGTAGCTCTAGCTTTGGCGCTATCACTAGGACCAAGGGGGTGGTATTGGGTTACACGTCGCATGTGTGATGAAATTGCGTACCCACCACTCACCGACCATTCTTCATGGCCTCCTTCCGACGCTTCTTCTCAGCAGCCCGCGTGAGGGCCGTCTTGACGTCGCCCTTTTCGAAGGAGCTGAGGTCGTAGTAGACTGGGGCAATTTCCTGTGGTTGAATGTTAGCCAAGGCGAGGAGAGATAGTGGATAGGACGAGGCAAGTGCCGAAAGAGGCGCCAGAGCAGGGATTGGGAAGGAACAAGTGTGTGAGATCCATTGTGCAACCAAACGAGAGTGGGGTGTATCTGGGTACTTACCAGTAGCCACTCTGGCCTGATTCCAGTGCAAGTACGGATGTACTGCTTCGAGGTCAAGACGAACTCGTTGTAAAGTACCCATTCGTAATCGGTCTTCAGGACGGTGGAGGGGTGCATCATGACGGCCTGATCGTCCTTGATGGTCCGGTATACCTTGCCGGAGCTCTCCTTCATGGCAACCTGCATGAAGAATCCCGAGAGAAGCGCGCGGCGGATGTTTGTGTAATAGTTCTTGTCCTCGAAGGGTGTCGAGATGAGCTCGAGGCCGTGGGTCTCCATGATGCGCTTCAGCTGGGCGCGGACGTTATCGGCACTGCTAAGGTGGCGGAAGGAGAGAAAGTGCTCGTGGCACCACTTCTTGGGATCCACGCCGGGCTGGCTTGCTGTGCCCTTGAAGGCGTGGTAGGCGTTGAGGAGCGTGAGGTGGTCACCCTCGGGGTGGGAGAACTGGGCCTTCATCTCGTCGGCGCGCTTGCGCTGCGCGGCCGGGCGGACCCAGATTTGAGGCACGGAGAGGAGCGATGTGATGGAGAGGATCTCGTTGGAGCAGTAGAACTCCGGCGACGAGATAAGCATGACAGCCAGGGCCGGGTCAAGAGGGAACTCGGAGGCCAGACTGCCGAGAGTCGTCAGCTCGCCATCGTCGTCGAGACAGGCGAGGTAGTTGAGCTCCTCGAGGGCACGCATCATGGTCTCGGGGGCAGGAGGATCCATGAGGTCGAAGTGGACAAGGTCCTCCACGCCAAGCTTCTTGAGTTCAAGGACAGTGTTGGCCAGGTTGGAACGCAGAATTTCAGGGTGCGTTTGCTCGATGAGCTCCTTCTTGAAGGCATTCTCGGTGTACAGACGGAAACACTTTCCGGGCTTTGTACGACCGGCACGACCAGCACGCTGCTGAGCGGAGGCCTTGGAGATGGGCGAGACCAAGAGCGACTCGACACGGATACGGGGGTTGTAGATCTTTTGCTTGCTGAATCCCGGGTCGACGACGTAGACGATACCGTCAATCGTCAGCGACGTCTCGGCGATGTTGGTCGCCACAATGACCTTGCGACCCGGCCGGCCGCCCTTCTTATAGGGGGCCGGAGGCTTGTCGAAAATCTTTTGTTGCTGGTGCGGCGGTAGTGTACCGTACAGGGGGTAGACTGCCAGAGGCCCGGCGTCGATTTCTCTCGTCATCTCGTCGGCCTCGAGATTGATTTTCCTGCACGCGTCCTCGATTTCTTCCTCACCCGTCAGGAAGAGGAGAACATCTCCCTCACCCTCGGAGGCGTGGATTTGCAGCACCGTCCTGATGGCCGCCTCGACGTAATCTCGCTCGGGCTCGGGGGTGTAGAAGATCTCGACGGGATGCGTACGACCGGGAACGGCGAGAAGGGGCGCATCGTTGAAGTAACGCTGGAACTTTTGCGCATCGAGGGTGGCGGACATGACAATGATCTTAAGGTCGGGACGGCGGGCAGCAATCTGCTTGAGCAGAGCCATGAGGATATCGGTGGCGAGGGTACGTTCGTGGGCCTCGTCAAGAATGATACAGCTGTAACGCGACATCTCGTGGTCGTGGATGGCCTCTCGGAGAAGCATACCATCCGTCATGTACTTCAGAATCGTGTTGGGGCCAGTTCTGTCCTCGAAACGAATGCTGTATCCAACCTCCTCGCCAAGCTCGACGTCCATCTCATCGGCAACACGCTGGGCGACGGACATGGCGGCGACACGGCGGGGCTGGGTACAGGCGACCATCTTGCGGTTGAGCTGGGGGAGCTCATCGTAGACGACGTATTGGGGGATCTGGGTCGTCTTTCCGGAACCCGTCTCACCGACGAAGACGAGAATCTGGGTAGAGTGGTACTTGTCGAGGAACTCTTGTCTATCGCAGGAGTGTTAGCAGGCTGATAAGCTCCAAGGAGGATGTTCGGGTGTAAGCGTACCTTTGTTTTTGGACGGGCAGGTCTCGGCGCGACTGCAGGATCTGGAAGTACTTTTGCGAATGGGGCCGGCCCGTGAAGGCGTTGGTGTCGAGGTCCTCGACCTTCTCGGCCTGCTTGGCGGTGGTCGCGCGCGGCTTGAAGCCGGCGAAGGGCGAGCTGGCGTCGATGGCGCCCTCCTCGGACTTGAAGCCGTTGTCCTCCTTCATGTGTGCCAGGTAGGGGTTGTACTTGGGTTCCTCCGAGTCGGATTCCTCCTTCTTGACCTTCTTCCTAGAACTTCCTTCTCTGTCGGCGCTGGAGCGCTTGAAACCCTTGGGGTCGGTGTCGGCCATTGTCGTCGTTCTTTTCGTCGCAAGGGGTGGAGAGCGAAAAGGAGGGAGAAAGTTTGGCTGAAGTTGCGGCCCGGGGGATTCGACAGCGACGACAACAAACTCGGGAGGCGATTCCTAGCAAGGCTGCTGGGAAACTTTTTGATGTTGCGGGAAAAATTTAGGCGGGTCCAGCACGGGCCAATGGCAAAGTGGGATGATAAGATAAGGTAAGACGCATGCATTGGACGTACTGTTTGAGACAACCATCACACTGTCAAGAGACTTTGGACACCTCGAAAGCTGAGACCCAATGTGGCTGGAGGAATATGTGCAACTCGCCAGGCCATTTTGAGACTGATGGAGGGTGTTCTAGGAAGAATTTCTCATGTTTCCAAAGTGCGATGCAACTTACAAAGACACCGTTGGTGCGGATGGAGCTCATCTACGTGAAAACAAACATCAACACCAGCAAGTAGCATTTCATGACAGCGGACACTGCTTCCCCTCGTTCCATTCTCCAGGGTCCAGGCTCACCGAGTCCACTGCATGCCAGTGCAACCAATGGCACCGAGTCGCAACTCACAAAATCTGGTGCATTTTTACCTTTTGGGGTGGGAACCAACAGCCTGACTTCTCGGATCACACAACATCGGGTTGCAAGTGACCCCAGGACGTCTTTGTCTCTCTTTCGGAATCTCCAGAGTCGAACACACCGTCAAGCATGAAGTGCTGACCACCTCCTCTCTCTTTCTCTTTTTTCATATCCTTCTCTCCCACCGAAGCGCCTGGTTTCTGACCAACGGCGGCCACTTTTTGCATAACTGCCCGTTGTGATTTGTGCGCCGAGCATTTACACCACTCACAAATCTTACCACTCACCCGGCGGCGCAACGAGCCCGAGTCGACCATGGACGGTGCCAACTTTAACCAGATCAGGCCTGTTTTCAGCCTCGGTCAGCATGATTCCAACAGAGATCAGCCTCTGGATGACCTTCAGTACGGCCAGATTCTGAACGCTGGTGTAAGTGACCGTGGGCCCTGAATTTTCTCCCTCTCACTGAACCTCCCCACTTCAGGTCAACTTTGTGACGGCACCCATCACCAACAAGCACTTCCATGCGCGTGTGAAGGACCTCGTCTCTCAGCATCTCGCAAAGGCAAAGCAAAATGCCGTCTCTTTGGCCGATGCCGTTGTCCCTCCTTTGACCCCCAAGGACACTTCTCTCTTCCCCAGTCACGCAGTGACCACTTACATCGCCTACGCCAGCCCCTGGATTGACTTGGCCTCCACCGACCCCGTCATCGCCAGCGTTTCGAGACAGGTCCTCAACCTCGAAATTGCTTACGCCAACTTTTGCGGCGTCCGAAGCATCATCGTTCCTGGTCCGAGAAGAGACGCCTCCAAGAATGGCGGAAACATAGGCATCGCCCAGTACGGCCGAGCCGTGCAGGAGGCCATGAACATTGCTTCGCGCCTCAACTTCATCATCCACATCCCCATGTACCGCGAGCCTGGTCTGGAGGAGTCAATCGAGCTTCTCTCCACGTTGTCTGAGGAGCCTCACCCCGAAGAGAGCAGAGAAATCGACATTTACAGCGCCTGGGACTCCTGGCACTCCGTCCGCACTATGTGTGAATACAGCATGCGTCTCTATGTTGGTAAGACATACATGTGCCACTTCTGAACTACAGATGCTAACCTCATCAGCCATCCGAATCCCTAGAGCCCTGCCCGAGAGGGCGCTCCAGGACAAGTGGTTTGCCGAGCCTCTGCACTTCTTATCTCTCAGTGGCAATACCTTCCAGAAGAACAAGACCGGGCACCCTGCCCTCCCTAGAGCCCACCAGGACATGATCTTTAACTACATGCGTCTGAAGAACGCCCCCTGGCTCCTGCTCAGCGACGTCGGCCCGGACCCTGCCTCTTTGACGGCTGAAGCCCAGCTCCAGGCCGTCAGCTTGGCAAACCAGGTCTCCACTGCCGCAGACTTCCCTCCTTTGGGCGACTCATCGGTCCAACTGACAACGGACTCGCTAAAGTCTTTCCGCACTTACGTGGTCTACCTTAAGTGGCTCGAAATGCAGCAGCGACCGCTGTCGTACTTGGAACAGACGACGCTCACCAGCTTCCAAGACTGGCTCCAGTCGCCCCTACAGCCCTTGTCTGACAACCTTGAGTCGGCTACGTACGAGGTCTTCGAGGGAGACCCGGTCAAGTACAACCAGTACGAGGCCGCTTGCACGGAAGCGCTGGCAGAGTGGCACCAACTGGGCAGAGCCACCTCTTCGCAGAATGGCGCCGTTGTCATCGCCGTGGTCGGCTCCGGCCGTGGACCTCTTGTGACGAGAGCTCTCAAGGCCAGCGAGGCGACGGGCGTCCCCGTCCAGGTCTGGGCCGTGGAGAAGAACCCCAACGCGTATGTCTATCTCCTGAGACAGAACGAGATGATCTGGGGCGGTAAAGTCACTGTTGTCAAGACGGACATGCGTTCATGGAAGGGTCCCCTCATCTCTGGCACGCCCGAAAACAACCCTGTTTACGGCAAGGTCGACATTCTGGTGTCGGAGCTTCTCGGCTCCTTTGCCGACAACGAGCTCTCGCCTGAGTGCTTGGACGGTGTCCAGCACGTCCTGGCTCCCGGCGGAATCTCGATCCCAGAGTCGTACACGGCGCACATGAGCCCAATTGCGACGCCGCGCATCCACGCCGACCTTCTCACCAGGGTGCCGACGGAGCCCAACGCCTTCGACACCCCCTGGGTTGTGCGTCTCTTCGCCCTCGACTTTGCTGCTGTCCGCGTGCCCGATCATCCCCGCTTCCAGCAGGCGTGGGAGTTCTCCCACCCAGTACCCGAGGCTACGCTGAAGCAGATTGAGACAAGACGCGCCGGCGGCGTTATGGGCGGTGGAGGTGGAAGCATGGCCGGCGCCGTCGGTGCCAACGACCACAACTCGCGGTTCTGCCATCTCACGTTCGTCTGCCGCACGAGGGGTGTCATCCATGGTTTGGCTGGTTACTTCGAGTCGGTCCTCTACGCGCCACAGACCGGTAACAAGGAGAAGGTGGAGATCAGCACACACCCCGAGCTGATCGACCGCAAGAGCAAGGACATGATTTCCTGGTTCCCCATCTTCTTCCCCATCAAGGTAAGCAGCATTGTTGATTCTTGTCTTGAACTTTTTTGGTTGGTTAACTAGCATTCACAGCAACCCATCTACTACCCTGCCGACACGGAGCTGGAGGTCACAATGTGGCGACAGACGGACGATTCGCGGGTGTGGTACGAGTGGCTCATCGAAGCGCACACATGGGTAAGCGAGACACAGCGCATCAAGGTGGCGTCGTCGGATCTCTGCAGTAGTCGCAAGGTTGCTTGTCTTATGTAAGTATCTGCGAAGGTGGTAACTGGGAAACGGCACTGAAGGCGCCCGAGATGTTGCGCCCTCTCTTTTCTCTATAGTTTGCCGCGAAGGGAGACAAATGATTTTCCTCATGCCGCAGCACGACCTGGGGTGGGTGGGTATTCAACCTGGAAATGGACGTGCGGATCCATCGTCGACGGCTTTTATGTGGTCCTGATTGAACTTGTTGTTGTCGTCCATGTTCCTCCAAGCTTTCATCGTGAAAATCGTATCCTCCTCGCCCCTTTTCCTAATCACCACAGTACAAGGAGGTGGCCCAGACTTTGTTAATGCTTCTGCTCGTTCAGTCGTCCGCTCAGCCCTCCATCTTGACGTCGCCGTTCTCGCCTTGTTTCGCGCCGCGGATCCAGAGGACGTTGTTACACCTGTAGCGCGTCAGCTGGTTGTCCATGTAAGGGGCTTTCCCAAACGATGTTGCATACCGGATCAAAACTTGACCGAGAGCTCCCGTCATCTTCTGGTCGATGTACTCCTCGGCGCCGCTGAGCTGGACGTTCATGTAGCTGTCGATGCTGACCAACTTGCCCTTGTACTCGGTCTCGCCCCACTTGAGTCTGACGACGACATCCTGGTTGACACTGCAAAGGGGAGAGATGTTAGCAAGCTGTCCGTTGTCGGTCGCGATGAGGTGCGGATGAGATTCAGGTGCACGGCGCGAGGTCGCGTTCTCGGCGGGGAGGACGTACAGGTCTTGCAGCATAGGCCGCGGGTTAATGGGCACGAACTGTACAAAAGCATCTGGTCAGCTTCCATCACGATGGCTAAGGGGGACTTGAGGATGACAAACGCTCATGGTGGGCGATTCGAGGGGGAGAAACAGCCCATGTAATGTGTGGATGGGGAAAGATGGGTTTGCGCGGTCGAGGCTGCGATCGCGAGGCTCCTCCTTGGGTCTGGTCCGGAAAGACTGACAATTTTTAGGCGGGCACAGTGCACCTAAGGTTGCCTACAGTGGGTGTGAGGCTGTCGGAAAATCATCGGGTTCCACTGCAAGGTACCGCCGGGAGATGCAACCCAAAAGCTGGGGTCACTGGAGCTTTGGCCCAAGTGCGTTTATTTCCTCATTGTGCAACTTCGATGTTTCCCTCTACCCCAATGCCTTTCGAGGCTATTATGACAAGTCAAATTGCCATGTCGGAAGGTTTTTTCAGACGCGCGACAAAGACGGCATTGACTTTGTATTGATCTGAGGACATGGACTTTGCAAGCGCGATCTTCAGACGTCATATTGCAGGCAGCAGTGCTCGACGCATGCTCGCTACGTTACTCTCCGGGACCTCGACACAGTAGTTTGAAATTTGGAGGTCACAAGCAATGCAGAAATGTCGCCGGCGCCCTCGTGTTTCCGAGTCTTTTCGTCCATGGATAAAGGCTTACATTCAGCTCTCAAGGCTGGCAACCAATCTAGTGCGACCTCATCAGCCACACAGGCGTCAATTGTCCAATTGGCGACAACGACGAGCGCCATGGTAACATGGAACAGGCGACCGTGCCGTCCCTGAAAGTCCCGCGATGAGTCTTTGCTCTCGAAAACATCTCGGGGAAATCCCCACAACGTGCTTCCACGCTGCCCTTTTCCAGCATGTGGCTTGCACGGCGCCTCCAAATATTTTGTGTCTCAGGGCCTAAGCATTGGGATATTAAAAGGGCGTGGAGCTCCTGGCTGCAAACACATCTTCGTCGACCCTGTCTAGATCAACTCTTCCTTTTGTTAAGGATGACTTTAACGTTCTAAAACCTTGGACTTTATCACTTGCAACAACCCGACAGCACTGAAGTCTCAGACATGGGCCTGCTTAACTTCAAACTAACCTACCAGTGGCTCTACTGGACAGCACCTACTGGTGAGCCACCAGCCGCCCCCAAGGGCCTCACAAGGCACTGGGTAGAGACGCCGTCAGGTAGAATCGAAGTTCTTTCAAATCAAAATGCAAACCTGACGAAGTCGAAAACGCCCATCTTCTTTATCCATGGCGGCATGGGCAGCGCATGGGTGTGGTCAGAGTATATGCAGTACTTTGCCAAACATGACATTCCGTGTTACGCGGTTTCCCTAAGAGGACACGGCAACAGCTGGCACCCGTCGTATTTCAGGATGGTGTACATGACCACCAGACAAAATCTGGCCGATGATGCTGTTGCGGCTATCAAATGGGTTCAGGAGCGTCAAGAAAGCAAAGTCATGCTCGTGGGACACTCGAGCGGCGGTGGTTTAAGCCAGGGCATCCTCTCAGCAAAGCAAGCCCGCGTAAAGGGTCTTGCGCTGCTTGGAGCTGTACCCGGCTTCGGATCGTAAGCATCACTCAGGAACGGTCGAATCTTGGCGCGACTGAAACTTTCTAGATATGGAGTCTACACCAACTGGGCGATGTTTGACCCTTGGTTCGCTGTTCGTATGCTGTTCCACGGCTGGCACCCGAACTCGCCACTTTCCCACCCCTTCTTAGTCAAACAAGCCTTCTTTAGCGATCAGTTGCCAGAATCTGCCGTCCTCGAGTTCCAGAAGCACGTGAACCGCTACGAGTCCTTCCTCTGGCCCATCAGTATGATGAAACCTTTCACCGAGGTCGTCGACATTATCAACTCAATCAGTGGTTGGGGCAGCAGCGAGCGCATCATGGTTTTGGCCGGCACTCAAGATAGGATGATGACACACGACGTCATGTCGAAGTTGGCTACATTCTACAGGACGGCATTTGCGAAGCTCGTGGGTGGAAAGAAAGTGGATGCAAAGATCGACGAGGTCAAACCTCTTGGTGGCGAGGGCGACAATGACAATGAGGGCAGCGGAGTGAGACTTGCTTGGGTGCCAGGTGCCGGACATCACCTGCAAAATGATGTGATGTGGGAAGTCGGTGCGAAGAAGTTGCTTGCATTCTATGAGCAGCTGTAAATATTAGAGAATAAAGGACCAGCTCTACTCAATGGATTTTGTCACATCTGTTAACATGAATGGCGGCCGCTGGGTTGAGCTAGTTAGGTACAATCGGCCTGCATCCCACGATCCAGGAATAGAATCTGGGAACATTAGAAACTTGAACCAATGACTAATACAACCAAACTCGTTCTGGCTTTATACCCAAGAGTTTGAAGCAGTTGTAGAAATCCTTCGTGGCTCGCGTAACTGTAGGAAGCAGGAGTCAGTTTACACTCATCGCGCGGCCCTATGAAAATTTCGCGGGTGCAACCGAACCTCACTCAACCTCCGCCCTACAACAACATACCCAGCAACCACCATCAAAATGGCCACACAAACATTCGAGACCAACGGTGTCCGAATTGCCGTCGAGGGCTGCGTAAGTTGACTTATGCCCGCCGTGAAATTGTCCGAATTGCATTTACTGACAGTCCGCAGGGGCACGGTACTCTCAACGCTATCTACGCCGCTGTCGCGGCCTCTTGTGAGGCCCGCGGCTGGGACGGCGTGGACCTCCTTATCATCGGCGGCGACTTCCAGGCCGCTCGCAACGCCGCCGATCTCACCGTCATGTCTGTCCCCGCAAAGTATCGCGAATTGGGCGACTTCTGGGAATATTATGCCGGAAACCGCACGGCGCCCTATCTGACTGTCTTTGCGGGCGGAAACCATGAGGCGGCTAGCCACATGTGGGAGCTGTTTTACGGCGGCTGGGCCGCGCCCAACATCTACTACCTAGGCGCCGCCAATGTGCTTCGCCTGGGCCCGCTGCGAATTGCTGGCATGAGCGGCATCTGGAAGGGCTTTGACTACCGCAAGGCGCACCACGAGAGGCTGCCAATGGGCCCGGACGAGATCAAGAGCTTCTATCATGTCAGAGAGGTAGATGTCAGGAAGCTGCTGTTGCTGAGAGAGCAGGTTGACGTCGGTATCAGCCATGACTGGCCTAGAGCGATCGAGAGGTGGGGTGACGAGAAGGCGCTATGGAGGATGAAGCCTGACTTTGAGAGGGAGTCGAAGGACGGCACACTGGGAAATGTTGCGGCGGAGTATGTATGCGATCGTCTGAGGCCACCTTACTGGTTTTCGGCGCATTTGCACTGCAAGTTTGCTGCGTTAAAGATATACAAGGACAAGGGTGCAACTGCACAGGAGACAGCTCCGGACCCGGCTGAGACTGCAGCACCCGCTCCGGCACACGAGCCGGTTGTTGCGCCTGATAACCCGGACGAGATTGATCTCGACGGTGATGAGGAAATCACAGATGCTCCCGCTCTGGCACAGGCGAACCCGAACGAGATTGACCTGGACGATGATGATGACGACAGCGAGCAGCCTGCCGCCTCTGAGAAGGTGACGAACAAAGAACAACCTATCGCGAAAACCGCCGTTCCCGAGGAGCTCCGAGCGCAACTCCCTGCCTCCTTCATGCGTCCACCGCCGCAGCCCAAGAGAACACCCGGCCAACCCGTTCCGTCGACAATCACAAACAAACAGGTCAACTTCCTCGCTCTCGACAAGTGCCTGCCCCGACGCCACTTCCTCCAGCTCCTCGAGGCGCACCCTCACAACGTCCTCCCCGCTGACCAGCCCTCGCCGAAACGCCCGTTCCGTTTGCAATATGACCCGGAATGGCTCGCCATCACCCGAGTCTTCCACTCATCCCTCAAGATTGGCGATCCGTCTGCGCAGCCGAGCCCGGACCTGGGCGAGGAGCACTACGTGCCGCTCATCGACGCAGAGCGCCAGTGGGTTGAAGAGAACGTCGTGAAGAAGGACAAGCTGGACGTCCCGCTCAACTTTGAAATCACGGCGCCGCCACACGTAGAGGGCGAGCCCGTATCTGTGCCGCACCAGCCGTTCGAGTACACAAACCCGCAGACATCGTCGTTTTGCGAGTTGCTGGAGGTTCAGAACCTTTGGGACGCCAGCGAGGAGGAGAGGATGGAAAGGAAGGCGAAAGGCCCCTCCGCTGGCGAGTTTAGAGGGCACCGGGGCGGTGGTAGGGGGTTCCATAGAGGCGGTGGACGGGGTGGACGGGGTGGACGGGGACGGGGTAGAGGAAGGGGCGGCGGAGGCAGAGACAGAGGTTGGCATTGATTTTGGCCATGGAGGCTACAGCTGAGGGAGTATGTACAAGCCTTGATCGAGATCTTGATCGATATTACAACGACCAAGCATACGTTCACGTCAAAGAGGCACAAGCAATGACACGCACTCGAGGCTCGAGGCATCTTCGCGTTCATGATACAAGTTCATTGTGAGGTATTAGATGTTGAAGATGAGGCTGTATTGTTATCCAGCTATTCTAGTGTGCATGCATGTATCCCAACAGAAAAAGCGTAGATCTCAATGGTAGAAAGTTGAGTCAAGCAGAGTGAGTGGAATGTAGTCAATCTTCCATCTTTAATAGACGTTCAACCCACGGAAGAGTGAGAGAGGAACGCATATGCTAAGATGGGGTACGGTTTTCCTTGTTTTTCTTCTTCTTCACACAAGTGGGGTGACAACGTGGGTCACCGTCGAGAGACAAACGTCAAAAAAGAGCAAGAACCATGCCTGCTTGGCATGGCGATTCGTCATGGTGTCATAATAGCAATGGTATCTTGTCCGTTGACCAGCCCTGATGCTCAAACGCCCGAACTCCGTCATAAACAATAAAGCCAAAGGTTCATGTGCTCATCGTCATCAGATGGTGCCGGTGTTTTGCTCTGGAGGAAAACGTGTCAGAAATGCCTTCCCGTGAGACAAACCCCGTCACTCGAGGAGAGCAGGAGGTTGGAAGGTGAGGTGTCTTACTGTCCAGGCCTAGGAAGTCGGCTGCGACCAGCAGTTCCAGACACAGCTCGACTGGAATGTCCATGTCGGGGACATCCTCTCGCTCACGGTAGCGGTACCAGTATTGGAAGTACTCGCAGACTTTTTCGAGTACGACGCCACTGCCGAGGAAGAACGGTCAGATGCTTCCAGAACTTTGGAATAAGTAATGGGTGGCTGGGAAACGACAGTAAGGAAAGAAGAAATGTTGCTTGTTTCAGATCAAGTGTAGTTGGCAATCAAGCAGACCGGCCGTTGCAGCGGCGGTCTGTCAGTAAGAACACAGCGAAATAATTGTAGTTCATCATAGCAACAGCCAGTGGATTCGGAACTTGGTGAAGGTGCTGAAAAGAGGGGATGAGATGACTGAGCTTACCTGATCTCTTCAAAGACGCAGCGGCCCAGGGCAGCCTCACGGAAGTTGTTCCTGGTGTCCAGCATTCCCTTGATAGCCGGGCTGATCATGGCGGCCTCGCGCAAGACGACAAACTCGTAGCCATCACTCGAGACTAGAGTCACGTACTTGCTCTCGGTCGCGCCGTTGGCATCCATGGTGGCGAGCAGACAGCAGCTGAAGCAGATGCACTCTGAAAACACAAGTTCTGCTTGCGTAGCGGTGTGTCCGTGCCTCTGAAGCTCTCGCAAATGACGAGCTTCTTTCTTCTTGGCTCGTAGCGGAAATTGAAGCTTTCCTTCGTTGAAGGTCGACGCTTTCGTTCGAAATATTAAAGAACGAAAAATTCACGTCGCGCTTTTGAGGGAGGCGGTGGTGGGGTTTGGAGCTCGGGCCACATCATCCCGCCCGGCGTCCGGAATCAAGGCACAGGCGCCGGAAAAACTTTCAGCTTCCTGTTTTCAGGCTGCAGGGGGCGCCTGTTTTGGCCAGGCCAACGGCCAGGGGTGCAGTTGATCCGCGTTAGCGCGCCCCAATTTTGCGTTGTCGCTGTGGCGCCCCTTGCTCCTCTGGCGCCTGCCGTCATCACCCCGGCAAGAAGTGGCTGGTTGCCCCGTCGACTTGTTTACACTTGCCCTCCTTGCTCCCGTCCCTTCTCCTCAAGAACACAGCACAACCCGCCCATCCACCTCACCACACAAACCCACCCCCATACAATACACAATCTCAAGCCAGACCAAGCCCTCCTCCAACATTCCTCAACTCCAACCGCCGCAACGTCTCTTACCCGTATCTCATGCCTCACCCGAACCATATCTCAACGGCATCCGACTGAAAGCAGCATCAGCGCAGCAATAGCTACGAGAAGCGAGAACCCTGGCCGAGGAGAGGCCCAATATCACCAGCAACATCGCCATCTCCCATCGCTAAACAAGAGACACTAGCATCTACACAAACGGGGAACAACATCGCATAAAAGCACAAACCACCCAAGTCTCCCCAACAACCACCCATCCCCCATACGAGCGCACGCACTGGCCCGCGGTACACATCAACACCTATCCGTCTCTAAAACACACACACACACACACGCGAGGGGCTGCGCAGCGAGACGACCTCATCGTCATCGCGCCACAACACAACACACACAGTTAGAGTCTGCCACACTATGGCGTCCTCATACCAGTATCGCAACTCATACCACAACTCGTCCCAGAACATTAGCGAAAAGTACGACGACGGCCAGGGACGACCGGCTACATCCCGCCGCAACACGCGCCTCAGGAGCAGTGACGGTACCGTCAGCACCACTATGAGCTCGTCCACAGGGCGCGAGAGCGCCGCAACTCACGTCACTGAAGGCCCTGCTTATTCCAAAAAGATTGTCGTCGTCGGCGACGGTGGCTGCGGCAAGACATGTCTGCTCATCAGCTACAGCCAAGGCTACTTTCCAGAGGTAAGCTCTTTCCCCTCTTTTCCCAGAATCTTGAGGCAGCAGCTGCCGCTGCTGTGTGCGCCATCTACTAGTCTTCGAGGAGCAAGATGAAACGAAACATTGCTGACTTTGGGTGACAACAGAAATACGTCCCCACTGTATTCGAAAACTACATCACGTACCCGACGCACCCGCCGTCTGGTAAGACCGTAGAGTTGGCGTTGTGGGATACGGCCGGCCAGGAGGAGTACGACCGATTGCGGCCGCTCTCGTACCCCGAGACCGACCTGATATTCGTCTGTTTTGCGATTGACTGCCCGAACTCGCTAGAAAACGTCATGGACAAGGTAATCTATCACCGCCCCTCCGATAACAAGCCCCTCCTTTTTCGGGGCCAATTTCGCCGCTAATGCTAATTTCTCTCATCACCAGTGGTATCCCGAAGTCCTCCACTTCTGCCCCTATACCCCTCTGGTCCTCGTGGGCCTCAAGTCCGACCTCCGCTTCAAGAAGACGTGCATTGACATGCTCAAGACACAAGGTCTCACGCCCGTGACTCAGGAACAGGGCAAGGCCGTCGCGCGCAAGATGTGCGCTCAGTACATGGAGTGCAGCAGCAAGGAGATGACGGGCGTCGACGAGATCTTTGAGCAGGCTATCCTGACTGTTGTCGCTAACGACCGGAAAAACATGGAAGCTCAAGCCGCCGCCTCCTCTTCAACATCCGGCGGTCCTCCAGGGAGCAGCGCAGGCTTCCCCGGCGTCGCTCTTAAGAAGAAGAAGAAGAGGAATTGCAAGATCCTTTAAGATCCTCGTCGAGGATCTCGGGATTGTAACGGACAGGCATTGGACACAGGCGGAGGGCGTAATGAATGACTTTGTTTTATCTGCATGATCTCGTCACGACCTGCTACTATTACGATCTGGAGAAAGCATGCGCCACCATTAGCGAGGGGCGTCTCCTGCTCTGGGGCTGGATGAACTCTAGACCGGGGACGAATTTTTTTCCCCTTCACCAGGGACGTGGAAAGTGTTTTCTTCTTCTTTCTGACGGAGAAGACTTGGTATATAAGGGGGAAAACAAAGGAAGGGTGGGAGGGAAAGTGAGTGGTATTCTCATTGGAGTCTCGAGACTCATCCATACCCTTTTCTTTTGACACAAAACACACACACACACGGAGCGGGAACAGGGGGGACTTTGACCAGTTTCTCTATTCATCAGGTACTTTTTGACCCCTCGGGGCAATTTTTCTTATTTTTCTATCTCTCTTTCTTCCTCTCCTGTAGCAGCATCGGGTTTTCTGTCTTCATAGGCATTCCAAGGGGATAGGAAACATGAAATGTGAAAAGCATCAAAATCAAATGTTCCAAACTCGTAGTGACAAGTGAATTGAGTGATGTTAATTGTCTGGAGGCAACATCCATTGGCTGTTGACTTTCCCGATATTGTGGTCAAACTCGTCGTAGTTGCAACTGGCACGACATCCGAAATGGCGGCGAGGAGAAAGTCAATACCTACCAGCAGACGTCGGAGAAAGGTCCGGAAAGCCACTAATCAAGATGGAATTCTCCAGAATTGGGTTTTGCCTTCACTGCAATCCTCCATCCAAGAGCTAAGATCCTCATTTACAATTAATTGTTGGCTGATCCTTACGAATCATGGAGTCTTGCGCCCAGATTTTCATCGCCGATCTCCCGCGACCTGGTGATCTCACAGACGACGCCCGTGACATCCGACCCACCACACCAGTCCCATCCAGGAGCAGGCCTCGTTCCGATCCATCCGTCACTGCTCTCAATCTCCGAATGCAATGGTTGGAAAAGACCCTTACTGCGTTGACTGAAGAGCACGAGGCGCTTGATAGAGACGCCGCCGACGGATGCCGTGCGGGTCTGGAAGTGGCCGATGGGCTTCTTGTTGCTTCAGCCCAGCGCGGTATCATGGGCACGTTTTGGCAAGTGTGTCACCCTTCCAAATGCTCCAAGAAACGGGACCTGCTGCGAAGGCATCTTGGGATTGCCCAGCACACGTACGAAACTGTTGGCAAGCGGTACCAGGATGCCGTCCGACCCCTGACCGGCCTCTACGAGAGGGTCAGGAGCCTCGGCGACAATGCCAAGCAGGTGTCCAACATGATACATGAGTTGAATACTCTCCAAGAGTGTAAGGAGAAGGCACTGAACTTAGAGATCAGAGAGAGATCGGAAGCATGGTCGCACAAAACGTTGAGGCTTGCGGCGCTGCGCAAGCGTGAGTGGGAGACGGGGGCGAAGAGGGAGAGTATGGGGATTCAGCAGACTGCCATGGATGGCTGGCATGACACCAGACAGGACGACCGCATCTCTTGGGCTTCCGGCCTGGTGGTCTGCAAACATGCTGCGGGAATGGCCCTTTCGCTTAAGCACAACGGCGCAGTGCTCTCGTCCCTGGCACAGGAGATCTGGAGGGTTGCGTCCGAGGTGGAGATGCTGAAGGCTCATGTTGAATTGCTCCAACATGGCCGTGACGCAATGGAAAAAGCCAAGGGCTTGCTCATCGCCAAGATGATGGTCCGTATGGAGGTTTTCCAGGCAGAGCACTCGAGGCTCAGCGCCGAGTTGCAGGACGAGGAAAAGCCTTTGAAGGCAGTGGGTGACGATTGCCTCCGCATCGCGGCGAGGTTGGACGCGCTCAAGGAGTCCAACTTTGGGGATTTGGTGTTTGGTGTGCGCGATCTGGCGAGAAGCGTTGCGGTCAAGAACGAGAAGAAGGAGAAGAGGAAGTGCTCGAAGGGGTGCAAGCCAGCCGGGAGGCCCTACACGTCCATCACCAGCCGGCTTATGATGCGGTAGAGAGCTTCGGCACGGTAGAAGGGAGACGTGAACAGTGCGGCGCTCAAAACATCATGCATTCGTATTCATTTCGTAGGGTATCATGATCTCTCCTCGTTCTTCGCCTCGCCCTCGCCGCTGCCCTCGCCCTCCTTGTTCTGCTCGGGCTCCTTAGCCATGACGTTCTCGAACTGCGACCACAGCGCCTCGACGGAGGAAAATTCGTTTCCGACCTGGAGTGCATGACAGTTAGCGCTATACTCCTCATTGATTTGGGTAGGGTGGGGGTGGTACCGTGATGACGGCCTCGAGCGACCGGTTCAGTTTGTTGATGTTGGCGAGGACATGCTCGAAGCTCTGTTTTTGTTTATTAGCGCCCGTGTGTTTTTGCTGAAGGTCGCCGCCCAGCTCATAAAAACCTTACCATGGCAATCTCGCCAATGAGCTCCTCGCGCTGCTGCTCGAAATAGGTCTTTTCCTTTGCCCCGACATGGGACTGAGAGTGGGAAAACGACCGCTGGTGTGACGACATGTTGGATTGTGGTCGACGAACGCTGGAGGAGTGATCGCGTCGTGGAGTCTGCGCGTCTAGCGGTGATGGCGGGGTGCAACGAGGTCTTGGTGGGGTCGTGGGGGAAGATTATGTACAGTGTCTAATATCTTATCGTAATGTTAAACACAGTACAGTGTACTCCAACGACACCTCCAATTCCGCGGGTTCACCAGTTATCCTTCCAGCATCCTAAATCTTCCTTTACGTTCAAGGGATACTCTCTTTGCGGGTTTTTTTTCTCTAAAGAGAAGAGTGACTAGGTATGTACTAACATAACAGACACTCTGTCATTCAAAGTGTCGTTTACCACCGTCTCCGAGCAGTATCAGACAAACATAAGGAGGAATGAAGTGACATAATAGACACAACCTATTGTTTAGCCCTATTTTTGTTGTATGTTAGCACAAATCTAGTTCTGCAGCGCAGAAAATGGTTTAAAGACAATGTATGAAAGTTCTAATGACTTGGAATGCTCTATACTTCGCCAGCAGGGTATCCTTATCTAGGCAAAGGTGTAGAAAGAACTGCCAAAACTTTCAACTTTTATCCAGTAACTAACAAAGCATAGTTAAGGATTCGAAGCGAATCGTTATCTGCTAACCTGGGCAATAATTTTAATCCTTTTGATGACTAATTTGTACACAAGAACCTCTCGATGGTTATTGCTTTGCAACTGTGCCCTTGTGGACACCATTGAGGTATTTGTGTGGTGATATCAGAGTGAAAACGGGTATTCAAGTCAGCAGTGCATGTACAACATGCCTCACTGAAGCGTAGTACTGCGAAATCGATTCGATGGCTCGAGAATCTAAGTACCTAATGCACGGCAGGTCGGCAAGCAGAGATCATCGCCCAACCGTCAAGCGCAAGAATACATGGCCAATCTGTCGTGTTGATACGTGTTACTAGTCAGGGAATGGCATAAGAGAAGCAAAAAAGAGGGCTATTCAATGTTTGCTCATACCAGGCAAGAACCCTCCACCCACCCCTTTCGGACTCCTTCCTTCAGCTGGTGACTGCGTTGCAAATCGTCTACCGGGCTTTGCTTCTCTTTCTCTTTCTTTGTTTCTATCGCAACTGTTTGATATGTTGAATAAAGGATTTGCTTCACGCAGGATCAAGCTGACTACTTGTTTTGGTAACCACCGAAACACCCCCTTCTCTTCGGTTCCCACCTACCTATTATCTCGTGTTCGCCCACCAACAAACATCCACAACGAAGATATCGTCTGAAAAGTGAACCACCCTTTCAAATTCATCGTCGGGCACTTCGTTACTGAGGTGGTCTCGCCATACTCACTGTCGAGATGGTATGTTGACCTACCTAACCATCAATCCTCGTCAGCGCCCATACTTCGACACAATGATCCCCTATCGCTAATATCTCTCAGGGTTTGTTCTTCCTCTAAGCGGCCAACCTTCCCAGAGGCACCAAGATGCCCGTATCACTCCTAGATGAGACAGAGTCATGCGCACTTGTGGATCCTGAGTTGAGTTTCGTCATCGGCAGCCAAACACTCGGGTTTCCGGATCAATTGCGGACAGATCTCGTCATGCATGTTGGAGAAAAACATGGTGCCTATCTTGGTGTGACGATTCGCCTTCCGCGCAGCAAAAACGACGTCGTGTCTTTCTTCGACAGCGACTTTACAGTGTTGGCAGACCTCTCCATCACTATTAGGTGGCCGTTGGGCAGTTTCAATATCTGGATAGATGGCCTGGAAGACGCCAAAGTGAAAACGCACCTTCCCCAGCAAATGCAAGCGAACGATTCTGGCCTCTTGCAAGTAGAGCTCCGCCCTAATGAGAAAAGCTTCATCGATGGCATTGGGTTTCCTTTCCAGGGAAAAGACGCGAACGTCGATAGCTACGTTAATTCTGATGGCAAGATACAAGGAAAGTGGAGCCTCAGAGACATCTTCAGTCAGAAGCGCTTCTTCGTCCTCGTCAAAGACACTATCAACTCCTCACTGACCGTGTTATTTCAACTCGCATCAAAGCAAAAAGTTGTTGAAGCCCCCTACGGAAATGTGTAAGTTAGTTCGCTTTGCTGGCTATTTCTGTCAAATCGCATCACACTAATATCACCCATTTCCAGGTACCATTGGGACGTGAACAGGTACAAGAAGCAGATGGCTCCTGAGAATCTCAAAACGGCTCAAGATCCAGTCAAATCTCGCTTTGATGATCTCAATCATGTGTTAACGGTGATCGCACAATCGATCGTGCAAGTAGTCTTGCAAGAATTCTTCATCGGCCGCGGGTGTCTTCAGCCCATCACCCACTCGCCCAAGATCACCAACATTGACAGTGACGACACTCATCTGGTAGAAACTGTGCAGAGATTTCCTCCTACGAGAAACTCCCTCTCACAGCAGGCTGACTCTAAAACCCGGGTTGATGGTCAGTACGCAGAGATGGCGATGTCGCACCTGTCTCCTTGCTTACAAGAACGGTTCCGACAATGCATCGAACTGGTTGCACTTCGCATGGTTGGCATTTGTGGGCCTGCGACCTATGAAACCAACATACTCGTTGTAAATACTCTGGGGGTTTTTATTTTTTGGCAACCACCGAAACAAACAAAGTACATGCCTCAGCGTCTACTCACAACGCGATACGTCACTATGTCTCTCTGCTTCATACCACAAGCACTCGGGTTGTGAAAGCCCTTCAGGACTATACCGAACCCGACTTGCGTTGCCATATCCCCCTCGTTGTTCGCGGATATAACATAAAGGAAGATGTTGTCTCCTTCATTCGACTGATAATCAAGGGAAATATTGAGTGGGAAATGCAAAATGGTCGCAACACCTCTCTTCGTGTGAGTGGCTATCGAAATTGGTCAACTACGATGAATTCAACCTTGATCCCCTGGACAACCCCAAGCTTTTCGATATTCGCCAGAATTTCCGAAACGATGAGAAGTACGCAGGTCTCCGTGCTTTCGTCAACCGTAAAATACCGCTGCACAAAGTGAGGGATTTCGCCGCTTCTGGGGACACTTCAGCTGCGGGGGCACGCATTGGTCAACAAGATAAGGGCCGAACGACTCAACAAGAGAGAGAAAGTCAATTGAGAGCTGAGCATTGGGCTATGTATCTCGTCAAATCTCTCCTAGAGAGCATAGTAGAGAGCGCTGACGTGGTGTGCACCACAACACACATGTCGCGGGATGTCCCCTACGAAACCTTTCGGGAGTCGGCCAAGGCCGTTGTACTTGCAGACGCCGGAACGATGTAGAAGGCAGAGGCCATCGTGGTCCGGGGTCCTTATTTCAAGCCTTGCGCGATCGGGGGTGATGTAATCAAGATGACCCGCACATTCATCGACCCCCATCACAAGCAAGGTGGCAAGTATGCCAACCACTTTGGCCCCGAAGCTGAGATTTCCCATCTCAGACACATGATGGGGAGTGGAAATGGTGTTTTCATGGCGAAGTGATTGGAGTTGAGAAAGTGAAAGTTTCGTGATCTCCAGATAGGCTACAAAACAAGAGGTCAGTCATGGATAGTCTTGGGAACTACCAGGACAAAGCTTCTTGTAGACTACTTTTGAGGTGATTAGAAGAAGGGGTTTAATTCCTTTGACTAGCTTGCAAGTACTTTGAGAAGGGGTCTGCAGCTTTTGAGAACTCTGTAGGTAATGTGATGTCATTCTGTTTTGCAGACGAGGTTGCTCACTTCCTTACCGCATCGCACCGACTCTGGGCACAATCAATACGGTAACCGACGGCAGTTCCTCAAAAGTCTTTGCAGCCTCTGTAAGATACCATCGGTGTCAATAGCACATTGGATCCCCGGCAAAGCAACCGTATCTGCGTTTGCGAGACGGGCCATTTCCCCAGTGCACTGGCGCTGGACCCGGTCCATCGTCGGGAAAAGTGGAACTGACCGAGGGGACATTCGCCATTCGGCGCCGAGTGTCAGGTCCGGCCCGGCCGGGACCGCTCACTGCCCTGGACTCTCCCTCACAACCAGCGCGGCAAAGCATTGGATGGTTATTTTGGTATCATTCAACGTGATATTGAAAAGTTACATCAAGGTCATGTACACATTGCGCCAGAAGTCCCACTTTTCATTACTCTTCCTGCCGATTCCCTTAGAACAGAGCTCCGCCCAGGCGGATCGCGACCGACTTGTTCTGGGTGTAGTTTGAGAGGGCGGCCTCGCCGAGTTCTCTTCCGATTCCTGACTCCTTGAAACCACCGAAGGGGACCTAGCGGGGATGTCAGCATGTTTTTTTTTCACAGAGAAGTTGTGTTTCAGCAAGATACATACCTGGTATGAGAGCATGTTGTAGCCTGTGGGACACGATGTGGTTAGCACTGCCGAATCGCAAGAGTGGGTGTTGGTACTTACAGTTGACCCAGACGGTGCCGGCCTTGATGGCATTGCTCACGCGGATGGCGGTGTTGAGGTCGGTGGTGTGGACGGCAGCAGCCAGGCCGTAGGTGGTGTCGTTTCCGAGCTTGATGACCTCGTCCTCATCCTTGAACTTGGCAATGGCGCAGACGGGGCCGAAGATCTCCTCCTGCATGATCTTCATGTCGGGGCGGACGTTGCTGAAGATGGTGGGCTGGATGAAGTAGCCCTTGTCGCCGTGCCTGGCACCGCCGGTCTCGACGGTGGCGCCCTCCTCCTTGCCGGCCTTGATGTAACCCATGATGCGGTCGAACTGCAGCTGGCTGACCTGGGGGCCCTGGAAGGTCTCGGGGTGGAACGGGTCGCCGACCTTGTTCTGCTCGGCGCGCTTCTTGAAGGCGGCGAGGAACTTGTCGTAGATGCCCTCCTGGACGAAGATGCGGGTGCCGGCGCAGCAGCACTGGCCGTGGTTGTAGTAGATGCCGAAGTTGACCCACGAGATGGCCTGCTCGATGTCGGCGTCGTTGAAGACGATGTTGGGGGACTTGCCGCCCAGCTCGAGAGTGACCTTCTTGAGGTTGGAGCTGGCGGCGGCCTTCATGATCTGGCGACCGACGAGGGTGGAGCCGGTGAAGGCAATCTTGTCGACGTCCATGTGGGCGGAGAGGGCGGCGCCGGCCACCTTGCCGAAACCGTTGATCAAGTTGAAGACACCAGGGGGGAAGCCGGCCTCCTTGACGAGGGTCGCGAAGACGAGGGCGGACAGAGGGGTCTGCTCGGCGGTCTTCATGACAATGGTGTTGCCGGTCGCCAGGGCGGGGCCAATCTTCCAGGCGAGCATGAGGAGGGGGAAGTTCCAGGGGATGATCTGGGCGCAGACACCGATCTGGGAGACACGTTAGCTTGGGGCCAGGATCCGCGGGGGAGGGGGGCGTCGAGACTCACGGGCTCGGAGCGGGTGTAGTGGAACATGTCGGGGGCGACGTCGATCGTCTTGCCCTCAATCTTGTCGGCCCAGCCGCCGTAGTATCGCAGGCAGCCGACGACGGCACCAACATCGCCCTTGGCCATGGAGATGGACTTTCCGTTGTCGAGGGACTCGACGGCGGCGAGGAGGTCGGTGTTCTTCTCGGCGAGCTCGGCGAGCTTGATCAGGAGAACGCCGCGCTGGCTGGGAGGGACCTTCCTCCACTCGCCCTCGAAGGCCTTGCGGGCGGCGGCGACGGCGATGTCGACATCCTTCTCGGTGGCCTCGTGGACGGAGGCGATGACCTCCTCGGTGGAGGGGTTGATGACCTCAAAGGTCTGCTTGTCAACGCCCTCAACCCACTCGTTGTTGATGAACCTGCGGGAAGCAGCGTCAGTCATGAGGTCATCCGGGCTACGGGACAAAAGGGTACGCACAGTCCGGTGGGCTGGGTGTAGGTGCCCGTCACCGGGGTCTTGAGCTCAACGGACAAACCCATTGTGTATGTGTGTGCGGTGTGTGTGATGGATAAAACAGACGAAACAGGGTAATGGTATCACGGTATCACGAAGAAAGAAAAGTCGTCAACAAGGGGTTTGTTGGAGTTGAGAGTAGAGTGAGGAAGTGGGAGAGGGAAAGAAAGCTGCTTGGACACAGCTGGGGGACAGCAGACTGTATATAAAGCGGGGGTCTGGATTCACAGAGCTGGGGGAGAGATGTCCGGAACTGATACCGCGAAGGCCAGACGCAGATGTCAGAGACGAGGGCAGTGTGGACTTGGCGCGAGCATCTCAGCGGGGGGGGGGGGAGGGTGTACGGATGGGGGACAGGTGAGGGGGGACTTTACAGCGATCCCGAGGAGTTGTCTGCAGATTCACAAATCAGCATTGGATGAAAGGCGCGCAGCCGTGGACCGGAGTAACGTCAAACACGGTCACTCGGTGGATTGGAACTGGGGACTCGAGCTCCCCACATAGCCAGACATGCATCTGCATACTGTTAATGGACGGGGTGGCACAGGTGCTACTAGGGGGTTGTTAGTGTCGATGCCCTGCCATGCTAGGAACAGATTAGCATGCACTGACAGACACTAGGGACCCACGGACATGGGGTTTGGAGGACCGGGGTGAGCTGATGGAGGGGGGCAGAAGGAGGGGCAAAGTGGGAATGAGAGAGGGAGGTTGCGCGCCTCTGTCGCAAAAGACGGGCCAGCTAAACGGGGAATGGTGGGTGCCGTCTCGGGCCAACGCGTGTTCCTTTCGGCCACCTCGAGACGAGGCCCTGCAGACAGGAGCTGCTGGATAGTGTCGTCCCGCATCTCCAGTCGACGATAGCCTGCCTACCTTCCTTGCTCCAGTAACCCGGGCGGGTGAGCGCTGGATTCCGAGTTAGCTAGCCATACGAGTGCTGGCCGACAAGAGGAGGAATGCATTTCTCGGTCAATGGGTCGGGCAACCCCAGAAGCGGCCCCCCTCTCCATCACTGGGTGATGCCTGTTGAACTCGGCTCAAGTTCACCAGAGAGTGCCACTCCGCGGTCAAGCAGGATGCAGTTCCGCATGCCCATTCCCCAGTCCCCCCCGGATTCGGCACGCAGACTACGAGACTAAGTTGGAACTATGGCATCTTGAGATGGAAATTGCATTGGGCTGGCTGTCTGCGTTGTTACTACCTACTGGCATTTTGCCTCTTTCTTCTGGCGCCGGGGTTTTTTGCTATGCCGCGAAACGCTTTGCCACAGAACAGCACAGCACCGCACAGCATTTCCAGAACCCCTCTCCGACCTTCCCCTCTCCAGACGGTTCCCAACCCCGCATTTTCTCCATCAGGAGTTGCGCCGTCCACCAAGGAACCGCCCAATCAGACGTGGCTAAAATGCTGGTCTGTCTGGATGCAGCAGCCACACCCGCTTCGACGCCGTTCATCGGGGGCACCACCCAAACACAAACCAAGATCACAGCGATTACATACACTAGCAGATGCGTTGGTGCAGGACTGGCAACCACATACAGGTAAAACGGAGACGGGCCACTGGCCAAGCCGCTCCGTTGGGGACGCCATGACAAATGCGCGCCGGCCCTTGTGCAAACCCTGGCGCGTCACTTGGGAAACCGACGGGCTCTGGAAGGACAGGTGCCACTCTGTAGCTTGGCGAGGTGGCCACGATACCGTTGCAATCAGCAGTTCCGAATAGAACCTCGGGACGTCAGGTCGTCTGCTCGGGCGATGCACTACAGGTACTCGAAGCCAAACTGCATTACGAACTGCATTACCCCAGACTCTTCGGCGGAAAGCCCGCCCACGATGAGCCGATCAAACTTCACCTGCCTTGGTAATGGATGGGCGGAAGTGCACCGCATGCTTGACAACCGTAGTCAGCAACTCGCAAAACCCCCTGAGCAACCTCCAGCCGCCTTGCCTTCGAGTCAGAATGGTCTAGGCAGATCAGCATTTGGGACGACGATCCGGTGTCCGCCCTTTCTCTTCTCGACGACCCCAAAACACGTCAGATGTTTTAATCTTTCTCGGGGCCCCAGAAAGAAAGCTCTGCGTAGCCCCAGAGTTGACCTTGCTGCTACGGCGCAGGGCTCCCCGCCTTGTCCACCTCGACAACACAGCTACGCCTGGGTCTCGTTGGGCGCTGGCCCGTCGTTTTCCCACCTTTTGCTGCATTGCAATGCACGCATCTTGAAGGTTAACTGGGAAAGACTGGGTGTGCTCACCGTTTTGCTCCATGTCGGCGCACCAACGCCCGACCCATAGAAAATGGGCCATCTCCAAGTTTTGAGTTGGGGGGTTCTACATAACTCCTATGCCCTCCAGGGTATCGTCGTGCGGCGTTAAGCAAGGAAAAAGACGAAACGATGGGGGTCGAGACATCGTCCAGAGAGCCCACGGCGCTTTATGCCACGAGCTCGAGGTTGGATCCCTCGTCGGGGTGTCTATGCTGCTGGTTTGCCGGGCCCGTGTCTCGGTGCAAAGCCCAGCGAGCTTCCTCAGCGTTTCCCCTCTGCTCAGAGTCCCATAGTCCAAAGTCCCCCGCACCAAAATCCCAAAGAGTGGGTGGCGGGGGGTCTTTCTAGACTTCGGGGGATGTCGATATATCATTTGCAAACGCCGCATCGGCGCTTTCCCAAGTCTCCCTCCTCCTCCCCCCCAGTCGTTCCCCCGTCCCCCAGTCCATCCACCCCTTGTCTGTTCTTCCTTGTCCCCGGCATCATTCGACAGCAACGAATCCTCTTGGCCGAAGCTGTGGGGGATTCTGTGGGGAAAGCTTCGGTCTGATGGCAGTTTCACGGCGACACGGAGCTCTCTCTCTCTCTCTCTGTCTCTGCTTGCTGGATATCGTCTTTCAGCTAGCAACGGCGCGAGGCGATCCAACGACGCTGGACGCCAATATTTGAAACTCTGTTCGTCTGCATCGTGTCAGTCAGTCACCCAGTGTCAACTAGAGTGGGTTTGCTGTCCGCGTGTGACAACATGGAATGTTTGGCTTGTTTTCCATTTGGCGATGCTAACCGCCTCCAGCCCTGCACACACCACCCTTCAGACACACGCTTTCCCGCCCGCTTCCGACCTTGTTAGTCACAGTTCCGATGTTCAGATAAATTCCGAAGCAGGTGTTGGCAAGACCGCCACACCCCGTTTCCAACGGACTAGAAGCGGAATCCGACTGGATCTGCGTCCGAATGTCCCGGGGAAGACGCGAGCCGAGACGCCTTTGACCGTTCGTCGGTGCGGATCCGCACTCGTTTCGTTGCTCAATGACACTCTCGGCGTTAGGGCTGCCAAGGTGGCTTGGCCAATAAGACAATGGCCATGATCGCCTAGACGTCGTCGTGGTCCAATGGAGGGGTTGCGATCTGGGGTGCGGATCGGCCACTTTTCTTTGGCTGTACATACTCTACTTTGGAGTTTGCCTACCGCTGCCGCGGTTGGACGCCATTCCTAGCGGTTCCCGGATCCCCGCATTTGCGGCTCCCTTTATACGAATCGCTCCCTTGAACCCGCGTCGCTGCTATGCTCTGTAAGCCGTGACGTTGCGCGGTTGCCAGTACCGATACCCCTTGCTAGTTTCGGGGCAAATGCATCCAATGACGGTTTCTTCACGAGAGACTGTAAGCCGCAGCCAGTTGGCTGCAGACCATCGAGGCCCTCCAAGGAACCCTTGGCCCGGGCCTGCGGATGCAGATGCTGTATCTCTAACTGACCTGTCGATTTTGTTTCCTCCCAGGCATCCGTGTATGACGGTCACCTGGAAGACGCGGCAGAGTGCTTGCTGCATGATATGGATCTAGACTCCGAACAAGAGTTGCCAAGGGTAGATGCAGTCGAGAGCCGAGCAGACGCAGCGCCTAAAGCACAACGCAGGGGGTCTGCTAACTCTCGGCGAATCAGGTGAAGAACAGTTGACAGCTTCGCGCCTCTGCCGGTGAATAAGCTCGTCACATCCAGGGCATACTGCCTCGGCTCCTTGGCCATCTCTTCGTGGAGATCCACGTATTATGTGATGAGCGGGCTGCACAAAGACCACTCGACTCTTGACAGTGCTATAGACATTTGGTATCCTTGGGGCCAAGAGAACACGAATACAGCTAAAACACATGTTCAATGTTCGATATTCGATGTTTTTCTTTGCACGTTAGACGTTAGGCATTCAACTGCCAGGGCTTTGCTGCAGTCAGTCGTCATGACCATAGAGATGGATGACTAGGAAGTCGTCAAGACTGTCCACTCGGCAGCCCCCAGTCAATACTTGAATCTCTAGCGGTAGTCCTTGAGCGATCTTGAGGGTTATAACAGCTCTAACGACCACATGGCGTGATTGCAAGCAGCAAAGGGAGCCTGAAGGAAGACTTGATCGCTTGCCAAGTATTAATATTCTACAAAAGATAAAAGTCTGTCATCTTCCATTCTCAGTCTCTGTCACACACTTGTCGCCTTTAGTACCTCGCAACATAATGCAACCGGGCACTTTTCCTTGTCTCCGCTTCGCCCAACACGCGCAATAACATGGCCAAGGAAGTCATGTACTGAAGCCTCGGCAGTTCAAAACTCGGCAAGCCTGCCTTCTTTTCTGCTGTCATGTTGAGTCCGTAACCGTCCTCGATCTACTCCCGACTTTCGGAATGAACCATGCGGAGTCTTTGGCCGCATTTATACCTCTTCTCCCTTGAGACTGTATGGGGACCCATCGAGATCGTCATAGGGTTGAGGCGCACATCCTAAGTTTCTGAAGCCATCTTTCCACCCATTCCACAAGCCTTCTTGAGTTGGGTAAACGTGTTTGATTGGCGTAACCATTGCCGCAGCCTAGGCAGTTTTGGTGACCCCCCATAGTAGTAGTTGAGCAGCAAAGGCAAAGGTGAGGAATCGAAGGGATCTAATGTTAGGGAAGATAGACCCAGGTGGCCAGGAAAGATGTGAATTGCGCCAGTTATTTCCTCTCCTGCTTCCTTCCGTATCGGGGTTGCACCCAACAGGAAGAGCCCAAGTCCTCGCTCAGGGACGGAGCAATCAGATGCCTACTCTACAACCCAAGTCCATACCCAGTGACGAAACTGGTCGGCGCTGCTTCACTGGTACCTGGCCAAGCTTCAACGAGTGAGTATCCGAGTAAAACGAGAGGCAAGAAAGTAACATGATGCGAGATGTATGTGCGCGGAACATGGGAAGCATAATAACAACGACGGGCGCACAAGTCTGCTCAACATGTGCCTACCACAACTGGCTTACACACGCCTTGATACGATCCGGATCTATTTTCCTGCACTCAGGCACAATGCCACAATGCTCTCCGAGAGTACCTCGTGTTTCCACGACGGAAAATAAACATCGAGACCACTGCCAATGACACGGTCACTCGTCGATGTGGCCTATGGCGGTCGCGACTGGCAGAACCGGCCCAGTGACATCTCCTGTTAATCCCCAGCCGTCAACTACCAAGACAGTCGACTGGGATCTGTCGAGTCCCCAGAGTTGACGTTGTGAATCTGGGGAATGACGTCACACAAGGCGACAGTGACATCCAATGTTTTGCAACGGAGCCATTGAGCGGTCGCAATACTTGAATGCGATACCAGGCATCACATAGACACTCTTTGGGACATCAAGGCGGTTTGCCAGATTAAGCGATATGGGAAAGAGTAATGCTGTTAGCTGTCCTCAGGCACAAATACCCTGTCATGAAAAACTCCAGGATGGAAGGAAGTCTGCTCGCGGAAAAACTGAGGGGTTGGGATGGCAGTTTGCAACGGCGGCCAGGCGACCGCGGCTCCGAGGGGCAGGGGAAGAGAAAAAAAATTGTTGCGATAAAGTGGTAGAAGCGGGGACTGATGCACTGACCATGTTGCATTCTGACGAAATCAGCCAATCACAAGGCATACTTTACTGGGAAGCGGCGGTGAATTTTTTACAGCGATCGCTCCTTCCTGTGTATCGGGAGTGACATCTTCTTTGGGGCAGATTATAAGGGCATCGGCGCTCGGATTTTCTTTCCAAAAAGTTTTTCCGCCTCAGTCCAAGAAACCGCAAAGATCACGATAGGCCCCGCCATTGAGCTGCACGCCGACCAGTCTGACCCGAAACCGCTGTCGACGTGCTTCTCAATGCTCATGGAGGGCATTGGAGCTATTGCAGAGTCGGCCCAGGCCGCAAAGGCCGAGGCGCACTCCCCGACAGGTACGGCCTTGGCTTCCCGCCATCCCACTTCGCAAAGGATCTTCACGCCGGCCGCGAAACTCGAGATCACACCCGGCAAGGACGGTCTCAGAGGCGTCGCAAAGGATGCTGACTTGCCGTAGCAGGACCAGAGATGAAGCAGGAGTCGCCTACCATTGCGACCGACCTGGGCGAAACCCCACCGTTCCCACTGAAGCGACCCCGCGATGCGAGCGCAGAAGACCCCGATGCCGAGTCCAAAAGATTAAAGGTCGACGAGGAGGCTCCCTCCCTCGACCTCAACTTCGACATGGACGCCATGATCCAGGGTGTCATGATGGACATCAACAACGAGATGGGCAAGGTCGACGGTCTGGACGCCGTCCCCGATGTGGACATGACGGCGGACCCGTTGGCCTCTGTGTCGCAAGACTCTAACCACTCCACCGAGCCGCACGCGGTTGTTCTCTCCGAGCCGCTGGCCTTGATGAGGCGCATTACTACCTCATGTTTGTCAAACTTTGTACGTGGCGGTCTCGTCAGTGCCGAAGGCGCCGCTAATCGTTCCCCTTCCTCCAGGCCATGCAGCTCCTTGTCATCATGTCGCAACACGTTTACGATGATGTGTACCGGCAGTTGCAAGACAAGGACACCGAAATCTCAAAGTCTTACAGCACGCTAAAGACCCTGTTCCGACAAACGCGATCGATTTACTCGACTACCGACCTTATCTTGGACCCCGCTGTACTAGACCTGACTGCGCCAGACAATCTGACCGACATCCAAGTCGCCAACCTTGCAAGCTTCTGCTGCGAACTTTTCGCGTTCGACGGGCACCATGAGTTGGCCTCGCAACAGCTTCTAGCGTTGAAAGACAGATTTTTCTCCGTCTTTCTGTCCGGTGACGAGAGCATCTCGCACGAGATCTCCGAACTGTTCGTCGCAGTCAAGACACAATTGGTCATCGAGTCTGTAACAACAGCGGACCAGTCAGCACCGGTTGATCAGTTGATCGCTGGGGCTTTCTCTTCTGATCTGGAAGACAAGCTGCGCGCGCGGCATGATGGGACTGAGCTGACCCCCGAGGAGAAGGCCATGGTGATGGCTGTGGAGGAGCGTAAAACGGGCCTGATTGCTTATGCTTCAGGCCTCCCTGATACCGGTTGGTCCCCAGACGCCGGTCTCCTGTGACCAAAGCTGACGTGTTGAGTACAGTGTTGTTGAAGATCGGCTACCCCGAGGAGGATCTTTTCCGCCTGCTAAACGCATACCTTCGACAGAAGCTGCAATCTTTGTCTGGGCTCGCGTCAAGACATGGCATCGACCTACCACAAATCATGACCAACGGCGACATGGACGCTTCAATGCCTCCTGATTTGGACGATCTGGGCATCTCGTCTCTGCTAGAGGCTACAGATGGCCTGGTTGCGCAGTACCTGCCGAGCGATCCTGTCGAAGGCTTGCCATCCGATCAACCGCCCGTCCCGACGACCGAGACCAGTGTCCCCCCTGCAGAGCCCACCACATCCGCGCCCGAAGCGACCCCCTCCACAGCGCAAGCCACGAATGGTACTACGACTGAAACTCAAGACTCGACGAACGATATTCTTGCTCTTGTCGCGCAGAGCACACAAGAATACGTCCGTACTACTCTGAACAACCTCTCTCCGGCGCCATATCAACCGACCGTGCCAACACCGACGGGAGCCGCCCCAGTCACACAGACGACGTATCTGTCACACCTGCAACAGACTCAGCAGCAGTCTCCATATTACGGGTACCCGCCCCCGGTCGAGCAACCGCCGCAGCCTGCTTCTCACGACAGCAACGAAAAGCTTCCCCCCAGTCAGAGTCTGCCCAGCGCCGTGCTTTACGACAGAGCTCGCCAAGCGGCGTTAAGCAAAACCAACAACCAGCAAAGACGGGAGGGTACTACTTCAACAAGACGTCCTTGGACGCAAGAGGAGGAGAAGGCGCTCATGACTGGGCTGGATATGGTTCAGGGGCCCCACTGGAGTCAGATCCTGTCGCTTTTCGGTGCCGAGGGCACGCTTTCGAATATACTCAAGGACCGGACCCAAGTGCAGCTGAAGGACAAGGCGCGAAACCTGAAGTTGTTCTTCTTGAAAACGAACTCGGAGATGCCTTATTATCTGCAAGCTGTCACCGGCGAACTCAAGACGCGTGCGCCCACGCAAGCAGCTCGCAAGGAAGCCGAAGAGCGAGCTCGAATGAACTCGGAGGAGGAGCAAGCTCGTGTACAAGGCATCATGACTCTTGCTGGCGGTCTCCAGCACCCGCAGCAGAACCGCCCGAGTGTGGCGCCGCCGACCGCACCAAGCACACCCTCACAGTCTGCTGCCCAGATGTCGCACCACATGGCCGCCCACGCCACGACGCCAACGCACGGTGCTGTGTCTGCACCGCCTGCGACACCGGTCGCTGCTACGCCCACTCACGCCCGAGTTCCGCATGCCTCGTCACCATACGCTGCAACAGCTGCCCAGCTATCCCAAACCCCCCACCACGCCCTCTCGCAAGCGCAAGCGCAGCCGCATACGCCGTCACACTCTCACATTCAACAACATCACTCCCACCCGGGAACGCCCCAGCCGCAACATCATCAGCAGCAACCGCAACCACCTCAGCAAGAGCATGTTCAGCCGCAGGTCTCTCAAGCCGCGGAGCCTGCACCACAATACTCAACAGACTCGTCGGCGCCAGTCTATAGTCAAGAGAATGAAGATCTCAAGGAGGCGGCGCTGATGCAGAGTTTGCGCGAGCTCGAGGCGTACAGCGGCGGCAGCACCAGCTTGTCATAGAGTGACAGTCGACTTTTTGCTTCGTATATTCGCCAACCCGCCATCATCAACAACTACCGACGCCTGTTTTGCCACTCCAATACCGCTACCTACAGACGGGAGCAACCAGAGATTGAGAAGGGCCTGGATGAGTGGGAGGTCCTCCCCATTCTCGATGGCCTTTAGGCGTTTGGTGTGATGTGGTGTCGATTCTGGAAAGCCTGCCCTGTGACACGGGTCAGCCTCGAGTCGGAGTTTTGCGCAGGATATCGGTATACTGTACAACGCGTCATCATTCGACCAACAGCGTTGGAAAAACTCGTTGAACTAGGTGCCAAGAGGAGAGCACCATCCTGGATGCAACCGTTTTCTGAGAAGCAGTATTCTTTCTGCCAAGAGTAACGTTATATATATGGGACGGCATGTTTATCATGTGGGGAATCATCACGAAACGAGTAAAAGGGGCGAAGACAAACATTGGGGAAAGGGAAGAGGGCAAAAAAGACCAAGGGGGGGCGGGGCGGCACCAAAAAGCGATTTTTTGTTTGCTCATGATACCACGATTGACAGAGAGGATAAGGCGAATATGGCGATAATTCCGCCTTTTTGGTAAGAGGGACAGAGAGAAGATTACTGCATAGCGATATGGAACGAATTCAAAGCAGGATTACTGCAATGCTGTGCGAAATCTGTGCCTCCTTTGATGAGTGTTACTGAGCTATCTGGCTTCTTACCGTCTCCTCTGTCTAATCTTGAGAGTGCTAATAAGAAGAAACCCAACGTAAGACCTAAAGTCAACATCGTAGAGCCCATAATCCATTGTCGTTCTGATGCACGCGTGTTCTGCCACACCACTTGACATCACACACCCGCAACTTCTTCGTATCAGTGCCTGTCCTTGTTCGTCTTTGTGTACTTCTTCTCGTGCTCGCGGACGTCCGCCGGGACGAACTGAATTCCGGAGAACCTCGCGGGTTTCTCACCCGGCTGGGGAAAGTTTCCGTTACTGGACTTGATCCAGAGGGTCCCCGTCTTTCGGTGGTCGCCGAACGTGTCGATGATGGGGTTCTTGTTCTTGAGCACAATACCCAGGACGACGTTCTTGTTCCTGTATTTCTCGAACCAGAGGCGCGTTACGGTGGCAAGCTGCTCAATGGTATGGAGTCCAGGCTGCGAGGGGACGGCGAGGCCGTCGAACTCGTCTGTGATCTTCAGGTCGAGGAGGAGGTCCATAAGAGCGTGCGTGGCCGGGCGAGGGTCGCCTGGGAACTGGTGTGCGATGCTCTCCTGTAGTGCAGTGATGCCGTTCTTTCCCTCCTTCACTGGGGGTTTGACGTTGCCAGCGTCTTTGGAGTCAAGGGTGTCGGCTTCCGATTTGGAAGCTGCAATGTGCGCGGCTGGGGTGGGGAGATCTGGGAAGCCCTCCCACTCGCTCTCAGAGTCGACCTCCATGATGGCATCCGCATCTGTTGGACACTCAAGTTGCTCTTGCTGGATCTCGGGCTTGCTGCCTGGTGTTGCTGCGAACTCTGCATCGGCAATTTTGGCGCGCTTCTTGCGTTTCTGCATCTCCCGCTTCTGTCTCTGTGATACGTCAGTGACAGAGGGAGGCCATGAGAAGTCGGATGGTTTCTTACCTTGGCGGCCTTACGCTTCTCTTGAAGATCAGCTTCATTCTTGGAGAGCGCCCCTTGAGACTCGGCAACGGACGACATGGTGTTGAGTTTAGGCTATTGCTGGAGAAAGGCAAAGCGGTGGTCGAACGGACTTGGGATTGTAAGACGTCGGTCTTTTCCAAGGGAAGAAGCTTGACGATAGAGAAGAGAAAACAATCCGCTTGTAGAAGCCTTGTGACGGGAACTTCTTGGAGAGAGAGAATGGCGAGCTGCCAGAGGCCAGGTGGTGAAAGGGTTAAGATTGAGGAAAGGTAAAGGAAAGAGGCTTGTGTTTCAATATGAAAGACTGCGAGCTTTTTCTTAGAGTGCTAAGGGAGGAAGTAGGTAACAGCAGAAGGAAGGAAGCAGCTCAAAGGCTTGTCAAAAGTAGAAGGTGCAGCCAGGTATAAGACATGAATGGAAAGAGCAGCTTGAAAATAGGGTGGATCATGGCCAGTTCAAAGTTACAAAGTGATGATGTGAAAACCAGCCGACAATGCTTGTATGCCTTACAATCATGGTGTAGGATCGCAGGGTCGGATGGAGTAGGAAAATGCTGATTACCGGAGAGTATTTGACAAAGAGAACTTTAGAGAAACAAGCAGCCTCAAGATTGGTGCTTTGAGAATATTTGCGTGTATACTCTTTGCATCGAGGGAAGGCGAACGTCTTTCGGCAGCTTCAGCTCGTCAATAGACTGGCTTAGCGACTTCTAAACAACAGAAACAGTGACATCTCTAATGAAGTACCGTTGCAGAGCTTCTTGTTGGAGGCTTTGGGAAGTTTGCTAGACGCTTTAGTGTTGTGTATGCTGCTTGGTAATGTCTTGCCTCTCTCGCCGTTCGACACAGTCGAATTCAACAGCTATTTGTCACAACACAAGATGGCAGCAGTGCAAGGGGTTTGATACAATGTCGTAGAATCGCAGCTTTGGTCAAGCGCTTCACGACAGACCAATGCCAAGGATGATTGATGTTTTTGCAATGGTTCAACGAAGTAATCAGCAGACGACAAAAAAAGGTCCAAGTACTCTTGCATGTGTCGCTCATGGACATCATTTCTAATATACAATGAAATCAACGCCGTCCAACTGCAGTTTATGCGGACTCTCCCATGCTCTGAATCATATCCACCGTGCCGTTTGCCACACCCACAAACCCATTTACCTGTTTCTTTTCTCCTTCAACCCTGTCCTCCGGCCTTCCATAGCCACCACCACCAGGCGACATGATGATGATGCGATCACCCGCCTCCATCCTGGCGGTGTTTTTACCGCCGAGGTTCACAACACGCCCGCTCTTCTTGACCCACACATTGCGGCCCCTCTGCCCGTCCTCGCCGCCAGCCATGCCATACGGCGCAAACGCCCGTCGCTCGCTGAGGATGCTGACCTTGATCGGGATGCCGAACTCGATGTCTCTGATGATGCCGTCACCGCCAGTATGCGCTCCCTTTCCACCACTGCCTTCTCTCAGACAAAACTGCCTCAGTATCACCGGGTATCGCCTCTCCAACGACTCCGGGTCCGTGATACGCGTGTTCGTCATGTTGGTGTGCACACCGCTGACACCGTCCCACGTCGGCCCACCGCCCGCGCCGCCGCAGATAGTCTCGTAGTACCCGAACCCAGTCTCGGGATCATCTGTGCCGAACGTCAGGTTGTTCATGCACCCCTGGCTCGCAGCGGCCGCGCCAAACGCCTTGAAGATGACATCCACCACACGCTGCGATGTCAGCACGTTGCCCGCGCACACGGCGGCGTACTCGGTGGGCTTCAGAAGCGACGCCTCGGGAACTTGTACGTCAATGGGCCGGATTGCACCCTGGTTGAGCGGGATCTCCGCGTCGACCATGCAGCGCAGCGCGAAGATGATGGACGAGTTGCAGATAGCAATGGGCGCGTTCCAGTTGCCGTAGGCCTCTGGGCCGGTGCCGTTGAAGTCGAAGACGGCGCCGCCAGTGGTCGGGTCAATGGTCACCTTGAGCTGGATGGGCGTGCCGTCGTCCATGTAGTCAATGGCTGTAAGGGGCTTTCCGGCTGTGCGCTTGTGGATCGTCTTGAGCATATCGCGGACGGCGCGCTCGGCTGCGCCCTGTATTTCCTCCACTGCCCTTGTGGTTAGCACGTATAGGAGGGTGACTGGAAAGAGAGGTAGACATACTGTAGAACTGAACGACGTCAAGGCCGTAGTCCTCAATCAGGGAGTGAATGAGCTGGCTTCCTCGGTGGTTGGCCGCGGCCTGAGCCTTAATGTCTGAGATGTTGTCACGCAGACATCTCGTACCGGAACAGCCTGGATAGTTTGCGGGTGCCATCAACAAGTCTGTGACCTCCTTCTCCTTGAAAACACCACCCTCAACGACCTTGAAGGCCTTGATGACTGCGCCTTCTTCCCAGAGCTCTTTGGAATTGGGGGGCATTGAGCCGGGCAAAATACCGCCGACCTGGGAGTGTGTCAGCACTGACAGGGGATGAACAGAACGGATTGTGTACTCACATCCGCATGGTGGCCTCTTGAAGCGGTCCAGAAGATGATCTTCTTGCCCTCTGCATCAAAGACAGGAGTAATGACCGTGAGATCGGGAAGATGGGTGCCGCCGCAGACTGCCCGCTTGTTAGTAAGTTTACCAAAATGGGATACCGATAATCTTACCAGGTGCGTTAGACAGAATAACATCGCCAGGCTTGAGGTTGTCTCCCCAGTAGTCAATCTGCCACTTGACGGCAAATGCCATGCTCCCGATCTACTCTCAATCAGCTTCTGACCTACATCTCGATCACCTCGAGAAAAGACTATGAGTACTTACCATCGCAGGCACGTGTGGCGCATTCGCCACAAGCCCACCGTCAGGCGAGAAAACAGTGCATGAGAAATCAAGTCTCTCCTTGATGTTCGTGCTCACGCTCGTCTTCTGCAATGCCCGTCCGGCCTGTTCCGCAACACCCATGAATCGGTGCCCAAAGATGGACAGCTGGATCGGGTCGATCGTTGTTGTGGAGATGGTCTCCTTGGTGCCGACGGCGACGTCAATGACGACCGTCTCGGAAAGCACCGTTGCCGATGCGTCGGGGATGACAACAATGGTCTGCTTATCGTCCATGATCAAGGCCGGACCAGTGATCTTGGTGTGAGGAGTCAGGGTGGCAAGTCCGTATACCGGCGTCTCGGACCAGCCTAGACCCTTGAAGTAGACCTGTTTTGTGGTCTTGGCCGGCGGCGCCGCCTTAGCCTCCGCAGAGGCAAGCTCCTTGGGCCAGGGGGTGGGGAGCTGCACCGTCGTCTTGCCGATGGCCCGCACACGGTAGTCGTCGATTATTACGTCGCGGCCAATAGGCAGGAAACCGAACTGCTTCTGATGCTCGTCCTTGAACGCCTTGAGATACCCGCCAGGCTGCGTCGTCTCCTGGATCATGAGCGGGGTGTCGCTGCCCTGGAAGCGCATGTTGAGGTACCTCTCTGAGACGATGCGCTCTTGAGGGATGCGCTGCATCAGCAGAACGTCGCTGGCTTTTGCCACGAGACTGTCGAGCTCGGCGGCGAAGATGGGTAGGTTGGCTTCGCTGTAAGTCAGTGCGCAGGGGCTGCGTTCTTCATTGACGACATCGGCGAGGGCCATGCCGTATGCAGAGAGAACGGAGGAGTATTTGTGCACGAGGACACGGGAGATTCCCAGCGTCTTTGCAATGTCGCAGGCGTGCTGGCCGCCGGCGCCGCCAAAGGAAGCGAGGTTGTGCAGGCCGGCGTCGTAACCTTTTGCCTCGGTGAGGGTGCGGATTGGGCGGCACATGGACTCGTTTGCAACGTCGAGGAAGCTGGGCGTGTTAGTCCAGGAGCGTTATGGAGTATCGTTAGTTCGGAGGGGCTGCTTACCCTGCGGCAACTTCTTCCACGCTGAGACTCGTGTTCTCATCCTTGTTGATGCTTGCCGTGAGCTCCTCAAACAGACTTCTGCTGGCGTCGACATCTAGGGGCAGGTCCTCGTTGGGGCCGAAGATCTTGGGGAAGAACTCGGGGCGCACGCGACCGAGGACGACGTTGGCATCCGTGACGGTTAGAGGACCGCCCTTTCTGTAGCAAGCCGGGCCAGGGTGGGCTGATGCGCTCTCGGGGCCGACCTTGAACATGCCGCTCTGCCAGCTGAGAATACTACCACCGCCAGCTGCGACGGTGTTGATGTCCAACTGAGGAGTTTGGACCATGACTCCGGCCGTCGTTGTCTCAAACACCTGCTCAAGTTCTCCGGCATATCTATACATTCCAGTCAGTACTCACGCCGAGATTCCTATCAGTAGTCACCTACCTCGAGACATCGGTACTCGTTCCACCCATATCAAAGCCGATCACAGGTGTCTTGTCTGTCTCATCAAAACACGTTCTTGCGTACCCCACAACACCGCCAGCAGGTCCAGAGAGGATGGCTCTCAGACCGGACAAGCCAGAGAACTCCACCAAACCACCGTCGCTCTGCATGAACTCGCACCGGCAGCCACTGGTGGCCAGATCCTCAAAGCCAGACTCGAACCCGGCAATGTAGCGCTTGATCTCGGGGGTAAGGTACGCGTCCGCCGTGGACGAGTTACCGCGCGGCACAATCTTGACGACCGGCGACAGCTCTGCGCTGGGGGAGATGTGAGTGAAGCCAATGTCGGCGGCAAGTTTTGCGATCGCTGCCTCGTGGTCGCGGAAGGTGTAGCTGTGCATGAGACAGACAGCGATGGAGCGGTAGCCTTCGTCGTATGCCTCTTGTAGAGCCTTTCTTGAGGCTTCGAGGTCTGTATGCGTTTGTGTTAGCCCCCCGACGACCAAAGTGACAGTGAGAGCAACTTACCCAAGGGCTCCAGTACCCTGACGGCCTCACCGGTGACACCAGTCACCAGGGCGGGATCTGAAGAAATGTCGATGACATCGGGCTTGTTATTTTCCGACCATGCCTCCAGCGTCACTCGCTCTGGAATCTCGATGACTTTGGAGTAAAGCACATCAGGCTTGCGTATGGCAAGGTCAAAGAGCTTCGGTCTCGATTGGTTGCCGATGTGAAGCAGGTCCTAGAACGCATGTTAGCTTACCATTCGACAAAGACTCGCCGAGGAGTCCATTTCACCTTGAGACCCTTAGTCACGGCAAAGACTGTGCGCTCCCCTTTTCTTTCAAGGAGAGCGTTTGTGGCGACTGTTGTTCCCATCTTGATGGACTCTGACTTTTGATCAGCGCTGGGAGCCAGACCGTTGCAGAATTATTGTTCGACTGACCAACGCCTCTTAAAGAGATCTTCTTGCCCTTTGGGTATTCCTTCCCTGTCGCCTTCTCCAGGACTCTTCTAATCGCTTCGACAGGAGCATCGGGGTAGTTGCTTGGGTCGACGGAGAGCAACTTCACGAGGATATCATCTTGGCCGGGCACCGACGCCACGCACTGAGATGTCAGCCAAGTTACCCCGCCCGGAGAAACATACTCACATCTGTGAAAGTGCCGCCTCGGTCGATGGATATCCTGATACCCTCGACAGGACCTGCCAATGAACCCATGATGGCGATGAATTTGCGGTGTGATGTATTAGTGTATAGGCGTATGAAACAACGGGCTCAGTACCTCAAAGTAGAGGTCAGTAGGATGGATCACGATGTAGGATAAGCTATATCGAATTGAAACGAAGCCATTTGCAGCTGGAATCGCAATGATTATACAGCTTCCCTCAAGTCTGGTCCAGAACCTCGATAAGCCAAAAGCGGTAATCCTCCGAGACACCTATAGAAATCATTGCCGGAGCTCCTCCGGCAGGCTCTTCGGAGGCCATGAACTACCACTGGATCGCGATGCTCCACATAGCTATCTCGATAGAGGGGGTGGAGGCGGAGTAAAGGAGAGCTCCTGCGGTATCTGGGGAACCGGTAAGCGTTCAAGGGAAGAATCTACCCCTCAGTATACCCGCAGACAGATTGACGGTGGCGGGGTTGCCGGCTTATCAGTCTCGGGAGGGGCAGCCGAGGGTGGAGCTCCGCTCGGTGGACGGCGGTGTCAGCATCATCCTCGATCGCGGGATCTCGTGAAAGGCCACTGCTATGCTCCGCGAATTCAATCATGCCGCGGTATCGGATGTTTGGTTTATGAATGGAAATCGGAAATTAAACGTGATCTTGATGAGCTATACTATTGACTTTGGAAACACTGGGTCCATCATTCCACACTCCGGACGGTGTCGTCGAGCGCCTTTGCGAAGTACTCGACGTTCTTCTCGTTGAGCCCTGCAATTGAAATTCGTGATGTATCGGCCATGTAAACATGGTATTTCTCTACAAGAAACCGTCAGTGATTTGTGACACGAGCTAGATTGCTGGAACAACAAACCTTCGAGATGCTGGACTTGAGATTTGCTGATGCCCGTGTATCCAAACATGCCGCTCTGCTTAACGATGTGTGACCAATCGCCCGGCGTCTGCAACCTGACCAGTTCGTCGTAGACCTTCTTCCTCATGGCCCGAATACGTCCGGACATGGTAATGAGGTCCTTGTTCCACTGCTCCCTGATTGAAGGAGCCTCCAACACAGCTGCAGCAATACGTGCGCCGTAGGCAGGTGGGTTGGACACCGTCGCCCTCTGCACATTCTCCAAGATCGAACCCACGGTCTTCGCCTTATCCGCAGAGTTCGCCACAAACGTGACAGCACCGACACGCTCACCATACAAGCCCATGTTCTTGGCGAACGATAGGCAGACCGCCGCCTCGAGACCCAGCTCGTCGACAAAGTATCGGATCGCCCACGCGTCGTCGTCGACGGAGCCGGAGTTGAAACCAAGGTATGCAGAGTCGAAGACGGGGAAGATTCCCTTGTCAATTATGACGGAGGCGATCTGCTTCCACTGCTCCTGCGAGGGGTCACAGCCCGTCGGGTTGTGTGCGCAGGCATGCAGGATGACGGCGGAGGAAGGGTCAGCGGATTTGAGGGTAGCAATGTAACCGTCAAAGTCGAATGCGCGGTCTTTGTAATAGGGGAGCTGCTTCACTTCGAAGCCTAGTGAGCTGAAGAGTAGTTCGTGGTTGGACCATGTTGGGTCGGTGATATAGATGGTTGTAACCCCCGTGGCGGCCTTCTTCAGGGCAAGTCCGGCGAGGAGGAGGGCGCCGGTTCCCGAGAGCGATTGGCACGATGCGATCTAGCAAATGTCAGAAGAACGTGTCCCACAACAGCTCGCGGTCACTTACTCTGTTCTCTGCAAATGCCTTGGTGGTGCTGAAGACCAGCTTGACAGCTTCATCGCGGAAGGACTTCAATCCCGCAATAGGGAGATACTCGTGCCCAGGCGCTCCGAGTGACTCCTCAGCCAGTCTTACTGACGGTAGAATCCACGGCTGCCCGTTTTCGTCGCGATAAGTGCCCTGACCCAGATTGACCTTGTCGGGATCGGTGTCTGCGATGTACCGCCTGGTGACATCGAAGATGGCGTCGGGTGGGATGAACTCTGATCGCTCGAACACGGATGTTTTCTGTTTGATTGAACTCATTGTGAATAGCTCTCTTCAACGTCTTGCGGTGCAATGCGATGCGATGCGATGTCCGTGTTGCAGTGCTCCTCGAAATACGAGGTTCACGATGGAGCTATGAGTACGACCAGGGGTCTCGGGACTCCAGCCGACTCGGAGGCGGTCCCGGCTAAGGGCCCAGATCAAGGGTCCGGCACCGGCGTGAGCTGATCTCGGATGAGGGGCCCGCGGGTTCACAATCCACTTTATTGGGGGTGCACCATGCATGATTAGCAAATGCTCCGAGGACAACAGGACACGAGGACCGAAATCACATCATTTCGGGGAATTGGAGAAAGGGACGAATGTGTCAAATAAGAGTAGCTAGGATAACATTTCGGGCGGTCATGTAGCTTTGGGCCTCTTACTCTTCTTATTTCACTTTACATTCAATAGACACAATGGCTCCACGTGCACCCCCTCGCGGCATCTACGCGCCCGTCGTGGCTTTCTTTCATGAAGACGAGACTTTGGACCTCGAGGCCCTCAAGACTCATGTCGAGCGGCTCGCAAAGTCAGGCGTGGCCGGCCTGGTTATCCAGGGATCCAACGGGGAGGCACCGCATCTGCTCCATTCGGAGAGACAGCAGGTCATCACGACGGCGACCGAAGTGCTGAAGCAGTATGGCAATCCAGACGCCGTCATCATCGCCGGCTGCGGCGCGCAGAGCACGCGTGAAACAATCCAGCTTTGCAGCGAAGCCAAGGAGTCGGGAGCGGATTACGCTCTTGTCCTGTCGCCGAGTTACTGGAGTAAGCCTGCCCTTTGCTGCTGTCGTATCAACACGCTATTGACACGTTTTCTTCTACAGCCGGTGCGATGCAAAAACCTGTAATCCAAAAGTTCTTCGACGATGTAGCAACGGCATCGCCCATACCCATCCTTCTGTACAACTTTCCTGCCGTGACGTCCGGTATCGACCTCGACTCGGACCTCATCGCCGCGCTGGCGGCGTCCAACCCCAAGATCGTGGGTTGTAAGCTGACGTGCGGCAACCTGGGCAAGCTGCACCGCGTGGCGCACGACGATAAGATCCCGAAGCCGTTCGCCGCGTTCGCGGGCAAGTCGGACTTCTTCCTGCACGGCCTCGTGGCCGGCTCCAACGGCGTCATTGCAGCCGCGGCCAACTTCACGCCCAAGGTGCACGTCAAGCTGCTGCAGCTGTACGACGAGGGCAAGCTCAAGGAGGCACAAGAGCTGCAGACGAAGCTGAGCCAAGCGGATTGGGTGCTGGTGCAATTGGGCGTTGCTGGATTGAAGGCTGCTTTGGACAGGTATTTCGGATATGGAGGAGGCAGAAGCAGACGACCGCTGGGTTTGGTTGCCAGTGCAAAGTTTGAGGGAGAGAAGGATGCGGTGCTCAAGAGCCTGGTGGATTTGGAGAGTTCGCTGTAAAGAGATAAGAGAGATAAAGGATGAATCATCTAACAAGATAAACAGCTGACTGTTTGGGTGACCAAACATGATATCGAATATCACAGTCCAGTTGCCTTGTCTTTCTCCTGAATGCCACAACGCCAACGCCGAATCGAGTCGGACCCCCAAGCCATTGCCTTCACCGTAGATCTCAACTCGATGCGCTCCTCCATCGCTGTCTTAGATCACAGATCACATTCAGCCCGCGACGCCCGACTACACAACCAAGCTCAAGCTTACTGGACAACGCTAAAGTGTTCCCTTATCCGTCCCTTGTCGAAAGGGGACATGTGAGCACTTTGGTGTAAGCCTATTGGACAAACCCAGCCAGGGATGGCTTATGGCGCAACCTAAATGTGCAAGCCACAGCACTCTATCTTCCGCTACCAGCCTCCCGGACCCTCCTTTCCTTTTCGACATCCAACTGTTCAGAGAGAACACTGAGATGACTATGACCTTACAGATAGCTTATTAACATTGAGTTGTCCAAGGCACAAGAGTTGCCTGGACTCTCTGCACCGAGTTTGGCTCATTTCATTTGCCCAACAGGACTCCAGCCTGAGTCGACTACATAGGTATTGTAACAGCCACGCTCATTCCTTACCGCCTCGACCAGGGCCCTTCTCCCCGCCTGATCGACGTTGCCGCAGGTTAAAACGGCGTTCGCACAGCTTGTTCCGGAAAATACAGCCGATTGCGGCATCTGCCGCCTTCACGTTCGAGCGCCATTTGGCTGAATGGCTTGCTCACTCATTGGTCGGAGGCATCGAGGGTAACTGATAACGAATGTTGGAACCTTGTGGCGCCATGCATTCACCCCGCACCGAGTTCTAGTCCCCTTCTGACTCGGCCCCTCGGTTGTCCATCTTCTCTTTTCCAGACGCCAATACTCTCACCTAATCATGCACACCATGTCACCTAACCTAACCTCATGTTGCTACCCAGCTCGTTGATTTTGTCAGGTCAGCCGCATGCCGCCGTTCCCACTCCAACCGCAAACACTTTAGATCCTCGCTGCACCTCCCACGCCATGCCCCATTGGTGTCACTCATCACCACGGGGCTTGACCAACCAGGTCTCGACAGTTCCAACGGTGGCTACTAGATCCTCGTTGCCTTCGCCATGCCCGGCTTGTACCATGACTCGCTTCAATGTGCTGCCTGTCTAGCACGTCATTGTACTACCTACATATCTCCTCCAAAGCAACCCGCCTGATGGAAGAGACACTATTGAGTCGAGGTGCAGCAAGAGCTGTCTGTTGCTCTTGGAGGCCGTCAGCCCAGGTCAGTAACGTAGCTTCCGGCTGCGTTGCTACATGATCGTCCCTCCCGCTCTCTAGTCCCATGCAGTCGCTTTGTTCTTTTAAACCGAGCCCATCCCACCGTGTCTGTCTTGGCGGCTGCCCGTCTCTTGTCCATCTAGTTCTCGTACCTGAGCTTCTCCACCTCCCGTGTGAACCTGACTACTGCGATCAGTTCTCAACATGGGTGCCTTATCGTTGGTCTTGCTAATGGGCGCTCTGCTCTCGACAACTTCAGCTCAGTCCTCCAACCCTTCAGTATGGGCATCTGTCGCCATGGTTATGCATGGCGAACGAACGCCTCTGCGTAGCGAACTTCAAAACGTATTGACACCCCAGGGCGCGCAGCAGCTGTATGCTCAAGGCAATGCCTTCAGAATGCGATACTTGTCTAGCGGGACGCGGACGAATGTCACTGAGGGTCGCATTACTTCTCGCGCCCCAATCAAAGGCATTGCGCGAAACGTAATTGAGCATGAGCAGCTCTCGATACTTTCGGTTCCCGATGCCCATATCGCGGCCAGCGCCAGCTCGTTTATGCAAGGCCTATATCCACCGATCACGCAAGTTTTTGCTTCAGATACTGGGGGAATGAACATCTCTTATTCAACATTGTCTGGCAACTCGACTCAGTATCCATTGGACGGTTATCAATATCCTATAATTGAAACCTTGGGGTTCTCGGACGAGCGATCTGTTAGGTAAGTCCAATAGCACTGCAAAGTATTATAGAGATAACTAATGAGTTTACTGCAGCATCCAAGGCAACACGGATTGCCCACAATGGAGGATCTCGACAACATCTGTCATGCAGCTTGACCCTTACATGGAGAGTCTTTACGAAGCTTCTCTTCCTGGGTACCAGTCGTTATTCAGCACCTCGCCTCTGAACGACAGCACAATACCTCCCTACAGCGCTAACTTCTGGGACGCCTACAACCTCTACGAATACGTCCGCTACCGCTACTCACACGAGCAAGCCATCTATGATGCAATGAAAGCCGATTACGCACAGCACAGCGAGTTCCTCCTGATGTACGCCAGACAGCAGCAACTCAACATGACTTCCAACCAGGCAGTTTCTGGTCTGAAAAAGGGCGATATGATCCGAACTATTGCTGGCAGAACTTTGGGTCGGAAGGTGGTTGACGCTTTCGAAGCCAACGGCAACTTCGCTGGCTATTCCAACAAAATGACGCTCATGTTCAGCTCCCACGAGCCCTTCATGTCCTTTTTCTCTCTCGCCCAGCTTCAACAAGAAAACCAGACTTTGACAAGCCCCTTCTGGAACATCCCCGACAACGGTGTAGCCATGGTTTTCGAGCTTATTGGCGACCAGCCCAACGAGCCTGATGCGTACCCTACCGAGGACAACCTCTACGTCCGCTTCCTGTACAGAGAAAACGCCGACCCGAATACACCATTCAAAGAATACTCTCTCTTCGGGCTCTCCAACAATACCGAAACGCGCGTGACATACAGCTACTTCAAGCAAGAAATGCTCAAGTTTGGCGTCGACGTCTCGACGTGGTGCAGCATCTGCGGCTCGGTGCAGGCGTTTTGCGAGTGGAGGACCACAAAGACGCCGCCCACTGTCGGCGAAGTCATTCGCTCGGCCGTGCAAAAGCCCGCTGTTGCAGGGGTTATCGGCGCGGTAATTGTCCTCGCCGTTCTCGGTCTAGTCGTCGTCGTGGCGGCCGTTCTCGGTGGCTTCCGCATTCATCGGGCAGCAGCGGGGCCCAAGGACCGTGGCGGTCGGATCGCCAGGCTAGGCGGATTTAAGGCCGCCGAGAAAATGGCTAGCGACCCAGACTTGTCGATATCGAAGCGAGGGGTGCATCACGAGCGGCAGGGCAGTTGGGAGCTGCGCAACGGACGAGATGTTGTCACTAGCCAGGTCGGTATCGTCATGGGCAAGAGTTCGTCATCTGTCCGAACCAAATCGATCGATAGTGGTATGAGTGTTTTGGGGGCTTCTCCAGTGACACCCAGGGAGAATATCTGAGTCAAGTATTGTACATGGTTATGCGACTTCTGGCTCTCTTTTACGATACCCTTTGTTATTTGGTAACCTTCTTACGGTCGCTCTTTAGACACGGAGGCATATATACTTTGAAACTAGTCGGCACTAGCTTTTGTACCTATTTAGAGCTCTTGGCTGTTCGGCAAATATGGACTCTATTTGAATGGATCTCCAGGTCCGCTGAACCTTTTTCTAATTCGGTCAAGAACTAACTCATAACTCGACCCTCCCAACATTGTCATCAAATCCGCATTTCATCCTTTTCTCCGAACTTCTACTACCAATCCTGACCAGCATCATCTCTGGGAAACCTTCAAGCGACACAGAACCGCCTCATTCCGATCAACTGGGCTCCCTGGGCTGGATACCACAGTAAAGTTATGCCAATCTCGGCTCGGATCGATATCCAAACCTTCCACAGCATCATACCGCTGTAGCATCCTTACAAGCACATACCCAGCCTCTGTCAACGCCAGCTGCTGCCCAATGCATATCCTCGGCCCACCATTAAACGGCACAAAATGCCACGCTGCGCCTGCCGCACCCCTCTTCCTCTCCCACCGCTCTGGTATAAACTCGTCCGCGTCTTCGCCCCAAATATCCGCCCGCCGATGCAAGACGTGTGTACTGAAGTTGACTTCCGTCCCCTTAGGCACGAAGACGGGACTCTCCCCGTCAGGGCCGCCGCCTGCAGGGAGCGTAGTGTCGCACAAGGCACGGCGGGAGTTGAAGGGCACCACGGAGTGCACGCGCAGTGTCTCGGAGAGAACGTGTTGGAGGTATGTGCACTGCTTTAATGACGCAAACGATATTGTGCTTGACGGATCTGGTGAGTCGACCCCAAACGTAGAGATAATTTCAGAGCGGAGTTTGGAGAATACACGCGGGTTCCGGAGGAGACAGTACCATGCCCAGCCCATCAGCGAGGCAGTCGTGTCCCGGCCAGCAGCGAGGAGTCCGAGGACTTGTTCCCTGACCTCTTCGTCACCGCCGGCACAGCGTTCGCGCAGGACATCGAGGAAGTCATATTGTGCCAGGGAAGAGCCTTGGGCTCTCGCTCGGTCGGAGGCGGCGATAGCGTTGTCGACAAAGGCGTGCAGGATTTTGACGCAAGATTGCAGCTCCTTGGTACCATAAAGCCAATACAAGCTGCGGAGACGCATGCGAGTGCCGAGGATGGTGAGCATGCGCTCGAACGCGTGGTTGAATGCCGTTCCTAGATGGGAGCTGTCATTTCGTAGGCGCGCTTCGAGAGTGGATGTGCTCTGGCCCAGGAATAACTCTGTCGCGGAGTCGAGAGTGAGAGACGGGAACAGGGAAGCCAGGCTAACGGCACCAGACCAGCGCCCCTCCGGTGCAGTGGTAGTCTCCTTCTCGATGCAGAGAAACAGGGTCTGGACATGCGCCTCTAGCAGTTCCAGTCTCGAGACATTGTCGCGACTGAACAACGGCCTCATCATCTCTCTTGCGGCCCGCCACGCTGCGCCGTCCGCGGCGAAGATGCTCCGTCCGAGCACCGTCTTGAGATTCGTACTCCGAGCCAGGCCCATCCCAAAGTCAGAGAACTGCGTGGCAAGGATGGCTTGGATATTGCGCGGGTCGGCGGTGACGAGGTTCGTCGTGCCCAGGAGGGAGATACGGAAGGTGTACGCGTTGAGAGCGGCGAAGCGGGCGGCGACATGGTCTGGCGTGCGCTGTTCACGGTCTGCGCGCAAGGAGGAGAGGACGGTGTCGATGCCGAGAGGGAGGCTTGAGGGTTCGAGGGGTGGTGAACGGCATGAGAGCTTACGGGCGAGGCGGGCCTGAGAGATCATGCGATAGAGGGTACATGAGAGGTTGATGACGATGAGGAATATGGGTATCAGGATGTACAATGAGAAACCATGATGAGTTTTTGGCACCAACAATTCACGCCATGCATCTAACAGTAGAGTCTTAGTTGCCATTGTGAAGTTTAGGAATCCGCGTTTCGTCGAGTTGGTAATGTTTCCAGTGAGCCACTGTACTACTGGTATTCTGGAGTAAACCCAACAAAAGATTATCGCCATCAATTTCCACTTTCACAATCGTTATGAAACAGTTTCCGGCTTTGAGAGTAGCTCTCACAGAGCCCCTCTATCTTCGAGCTCTGTCCACCATTGGCTAACAATCACATGCCAACGCCAGAGATAGAGCCCCGCCAACGTGCTTAAGACAATGTTCAGCATTGGTTCGAATGCTCAAGCTCCTTTAGTGACATACTGTACTATAGAAGTCTAACGATGCTCCATAACGAGATGGAACCAGGGACCCGAAAACGAGGGACTCTGGAGTTGAGACAAGGGATGGGTATACCGGAACTCGGGTCACTGACTCGGACATGGGCCGATGTGTGGGTGAATGACAGCTCAGGGGTCACTTCTCGGAACCCACATTTTGTCGTTGACTCGTTGAACGTGGAGATGTGCTCCAATCATCCCATGCTTGTTTGATTAAACCATCCATGGAAATTCTCATGGCAGCAAAACAAAGACCTAGTTCAGAGCAACATTGCTAATTACTCCTTATGAATTCAAAATACTAGTAAAAGAGTGCCTACTGAAGGATGTCTGACAAACAATAAGAGAAATTCAAATAACGTTTCAGTTTTGCGACTAGCTCTCCTCCATCAATGGTTGGTACCAACGAAATACATTTTCAGGGTCGTAGCGTCTCTTCAAGGCGCGTAACTTCTCCAATCTCCATGAATCATAGCCATACAAAGCCTCCGGAGGGTCTCTCATCGTCGACGTAGTGTTTCCATAGTTCACGTACTGCTGCAATCTGCCGTAGCCAGATGTTGCAATAAACTCTTTCTTCCAGTGGTCAAGGTGAGCTTCAAACGCCTCCCTATGTTCCGTCTTCAAAGGTGTGGCCATGAGCATTCTGTAACGTTAAGTCAGTACATAACGACCCGTGTTGAAAGCTTCGACTTCTCGAACTTACAAGAAATGGTTCGAGCCCCAGCGCCATGGGAAAGCTGTCGCCTCATCGGACAGTTCTCTAACTTTTTGGTGTGGCAAACATTCGAACATGGCCCCGAAAGTGCCTTTGCCGGCCCACTCCTCGTTCATTGCCTTGACACTCTCCAGGAAAGCCCGAGTTGTTTTGAGGTCGAATTTCTCCACGCAGGCCGCGCCCATCATCTTGTTGGGAGCCAGTGACCACACCTCTGGTTTGCTAAGGATCTTGTTCATTCCCTTGTATGTAGTCCATGGGAGATCAGCCCAGCTGATTGCTACTTTACCGCTGTTGAGGACAGGGTTCAGGCTTTCGAACCGGCTGACCCAAGGAGCTGCCTCGAGTTCGCTGCCTGACCAGACAATATTGACGAGTATATGGTGCTGAAAAGCATCTCAAGTTAGCAACGAGAAAGTTTACACAGCTAAAAATAACACACCTTTCGGCCTCCTTCGCTCTGACGGAGCCAAAGCACAAAGATTGCCAGCTCCGCAGGCATACTCTCGTGCACGCTGTTGAGTGTGTCAAAGACAGCATCGCACTGATCCAGAGTATACTCTAGGTCCCACGTATAGTGTATTCCCTTGTTTGCCTGGGGATAAACTCGGAATGTGGCCTCCAGGGCGATGCCAAAGTTGTGCCCGGCACCTCGAATAGCCCAGAATAGATCGGGTTCTGAATCCTTTGACACTATGACAACCCGCCCATCGGCAAGAATCAGCTTACAGGATACCATATTGTCATGTAAGAAACCGTATTTGCCCTGGAGACGACCAAGTCCGGCCCCGAACGCTACTCCGATAACACCTGTGGTTGGACAAGACCCAACGTCTATATCACGTCAGTACATAATGCCATTTGGCAAAGACCAACGAGGTTTGAGGGTTTTATTACTTACTGACTTCCATTCCGACGGATTGGAGGAATTTTACAAAATCGTCCGTTAGTACGCCCCCTCCAACGGTTACCTGTTGGCTCTCGGCATCGAAGCTCAGCCTGTTCAAAGGCCTCATATCGATGAGGATCCCATTCTTCAAATGACGCATCGTCGTTGTCACGGCATGATGTCCTGAACGAGGCGCGAATGGAACGCCTTTCTCCCTCGCGTATTTCACCACCTGGACCACGTCTTCGTCGCAGCCCGGCTCAACAGCCGCCAGGTACGTCTGCGGAAGTCCCAGTTCAGTATTATCGTCACGATAAACAAATCAGTGTTCCACTAACCGGTCTCTCATATTCTGTGAAGCGCAGGTTCGACTTGTCGAAGCCAGCTGATTCAGGCAAGTGTAGTCGAGCTTCAACTGATAGCTTAGGCCCGAGTTCTTTCTCGATTGTCTCGGAACGGATAGCTTCTGTCATTGTTGCCGATAATATCGTACTCATGAGATCCTGTTGGAAAAGTGCGGAGGATACAAGTGCCAAAAGCTTGGCAGCAACTGTCACAAATCGTAGTAGCAAGGAACGGAGTGCGGTGACATAACGTGCTGAAAGATTACTTCGGCTTCCGGAAATGCCCGGAGGTTTGGCCACAGAGACGTTCCTCCTAAACAGGACCTACTTAAAACATCGCTACCTTTGAACCTGGTTGCATGAACCCCACGCTAAGGGAAACCGTGGGTTAGGGTGAGAGCGACTCTGGAGCGGCCATGTTACGATAGTATCTCCAATAACAGACGACACGAGTTTTTGATATGATTCCACGTGGGATCAAAGAAAACCAATCAGATGTTTTGTCTCTTGTAGAATTGCTAGAGGACTGGATAGTCAACGCATGGGTGAAATACTAATCTTCGAACAAGCATTGACTCGTGCTTGATGATGTAGCACTTTCCAAGGGTACGTTGAAAAATAAGCTTTTCTCCTGCAGCTAGTTCGATGGAGCTCTTCAAAAGCTTCTATAATCGAACAAGAAGCTCGGCAGTTCTTGAGGAACCCTTGGCCTGTATGCAAGGTTGAGGCTGACGGCCAGGAACTCCCTGAAGTTGCGGCCCGCTCGTCAAGGGTCAGACTTAACCAAAGAGCCGTGCACTGCCTTATCACTTCTCGTTTGGTAGTCTAACTGCGTAACCCAAATTGCGGGGCCCCAGGAACGTGCTCCGACGACTTCACATTATTGGCAGGTCTCAGAGCAATCGAACCAGCCCACTACAAAACCCCTGGCTCAATGTTATCCACATCGCTTTCCTAAGCAATTCACTCGTTATGTGGTTGCGGAGTTTTCTGAGAAAACACCTCAATCGCAACGGTATGTGGGAAAAGCAGACTAAAATGTTCAGGGTCTAGAGCCGCCCTCGGCTCCAACAGTAGCTCAGAACAAACGAGCTCAATCATGCCGTAACACTTGCATTAAATCAATATTCCCAGGAAAGAGTCACAATGGTCAAGCTCGCACTACTTGAGAGTGGCTCAGCTCAATTTGGTACGTCGCAAATGCCGACAACTGGCATCTACTTTGCCGCTTGCTTCTGCATTGCAAGCATTACACAGAGTATCTCTTCATCATTTCATTCTTGTCATTGCCGCAGACAGTGATATTCTTATAGTGTTAGCTTCTGATACACTTACCCTAGACTATTACGACGCCAACTATGCATGCTATATGTTATGACCTATCTCACGAACGATATTGAACACCGTCGATGTAAATGGACGTATTATCTGGGGCATCCACGAGTTTATGCCGAAGCTAGCCCCGAAGTGCACGTCGAGCATGGCCAATGGGCTGCATTGATGACATCCGTCAGCCGTACCTCCATCTCAATTCCGCCCACATCAAGTGGTACGTTTAGTTTCGGTAAACTATGTAACGTCGCGTTTTCGAAACTCTTACGTAGATTACACTGCACTACGTACTCAAGCTCCGACGCAAGTACATCGCAACAACATAGGCTAGGTTGAAAGAAACGGAACGAGTCCGAGAGCCTTAGTATAGATGCATATCGTATATCCTTAAAGATGAAGACAACAGCTTAATAAGCCTAGGCCTGCTATACTTATGAGAAATTTTATTATTGCTATAGGCAGGACTACAGTTTAAAGGTAAGGAGTTGAATAATTCTGATAGGAAATGTGTGGCTCCATTAAGACAAAAGAAGAAACCGCCATGTTGGCGGCGAAGAGCTGTGAGGACCTCCGCGACTAAAGATAGTGTGCAATTGTGCGCGCTTTTTCTTGTCTACTGACCCCGCTGGGGCCCCCGCCAAAGGTGAGACAACGGATGGGAAATGGGTTCCTGGCGCATACCCTAGCCCAGTTAATCGGTTTACTATGGGGCATTCAGATCTCAACTTCCCCGGGCTCGTGATTTCATTCTTAAGTGGTTTCTTGACTTGGGCCCCGCCTCAGAGGTGACCGATAATGCCAGAGCAGCGTGAGAACGTTCCATAGTATCGTCAACGAATTCGCATTGACCGGGCATAATTATTTGAATGAGGCTGAAGTTGAAACACATGTTGACCTCTTGTAGTATAGCCCATGCTAGGATCAGTATCAACATGGCAAAGACCCAGAATTTCGAGAAAACTAGTAAAGAAAGCAAGTAAAATAAGTCATGGTGAAGATGTGCGGTTGATCATTGAACTATATTTTGAAGCAAGATGAATGCGCAAGTAATGTCACCAGCTTCGACACTGCCTTGTCTAAGAGCTGATAACGGGTCGTATTCTAGTCCAAAAAGCTAGCATTATCAACTGAGAGACCACCTAAAATCTATGAGAGGGCTCACTGATGCAAATTCAAGTGAAATGAGATTGCGCAGACTTGTCATCTGTCAAGATTCAAAGTGTCACAAACAATATTGGTGCCGACATCCATTCGGACTAAGAGATCGGGAATAGCAGCTATTTGCTACTGCCCAAAGTAAAAATGGAGGGTTCGATTTTCCTAGCATCCGCTCCTTGCAACATCGGGCGATAAGCAAAGATGAGTCAAAAGCTTGGTGCAGCGTTGCCGGCGGCACCTTGGTCTGCGTGTCTTCATTCTCTGCCCACAATTGACGACGCCCACGTGTTCAAAAATACATTGAAAGCTATCTTTACCTTGTGATTGGGTGTTGATCAACGGTTTCGGCCTTGCTGGGATATCTCGAGACCCGAGTCAGCGGTCCGGCATATAGACCCACACGGCAATATCGGATCCAAGGGCTCATGCTCTCGTGGACCCATTCAACCACCTCAATCCTGGAGATGGAGATAGTCCACAATGAATCCCAACATCCCCAGATTTTTCTCGTACTTGGCAAGCCCTTGGTGATCGGGTTATAGAACTCCTTTGACAAGGGCATGGAAACTACCGTGCAACCAATCTGCCTTCTAGTTCAGAAGTTGGGAGTCAGCAACGTGCCTGGAGCTTATGATTACATTGGTTCAATCATTTAGATGGAGTCGATCGTGGTCGGCATATGGGCCGTTATCTTGGATAGAGATCTAAGCAACGCGAACAAGCTGCGGAATCCTTCGGACAGAGTCTCTTCGAAGCAGAAATATCATATTCAAATCTCCCTCCAGCTTCACTCTCCCTCTTGTGTTCTTTGACACTCAAGTCCCTTTCAACCTCGACTTCATCATAAGTTTACGATACCCGTTAGCCACCCACTTAGTAATTCTGCTTCTTTTATTTGCCTATTCCGCAAAATGCCGTTTATTGACGCGCCCGCCAGTGCCTCGAGCACAAATCAGCCCATTGCCATCATTGGCATTGGTCTGAGAGCCCCAGGAGATGCTTCTGACCCAGAGAAGTTCTGGCAGATGCTCCTGGATGCTCGTTCTGCGCGCTCTGAGATCCCCAAGGATCGCTACAATGTCGATGGTTTCTACCATCCTGATCCCGAAAGACTGGGCAGCATTCAGCCAAGGTAGTCTGCATGATGCTATTGTAACCTTTGAGTGGCATCAGCTTACCTCAACTCAGGCACGCACACTTCTTGAAGCAAGACTTCAAGGTCTTCGACGCGCCCTTCTTCTCTGTCACCCCCAAAGAGGCTAAAGCAATGGACCCTACGCAGCGAATGCTTCTCGAAGCCGCCTACGAAGGTTTTGAGAATGGTAACTAGCCGACTATGGAATGATTGGCATTGAAATGCATGCTGACTTAAGACAGCTGGTTTGAGGCTAGAAGACGTCTCAGGAACACAAACGTCATGCTATATTGGGACGTTTACCAACGACTTTGTTAACTTACAAGCCCAAAGTAATGAGGCGCCTTCTATTTATCGTTAGTTTCAACTCCTTCGATCATCCATAACTATACTTTCTAACGTCATTTCAAGATGCTACGGGTCTGTCATCGTCCTTGGCCTCAAATAGGCTGTCTTGGTTCTATAACCTCAAAGGTCCCTCAATGACAATCGACACTGCATGCTCGTCAAGTCTGACTGCCTTTCACTTGGCTTGCCAGAGCATTCGTACTGGAGAAGCAGAGATGGTAAGAAAAGTCTCAGGACGCAGCGATGTTACGACATAACACTAATCCAATTCTCTGACGGCAGAGTGTAGTTGCGGGTGCTAACCTCATGTTTGGACCTGACATGTCCATTCTCCTCGGAGCCGCCAAGATTCTCTCTCCTGAGGGCAAGTCCAAGATGTGGGATGCAAACGCCAATGGTTTCGCTCGTGGAGAGGGATTCGGTGTCACCATCTTGAAGCCTCTTGATGCTGCGATTCGCGACGGAGATACCATTCGAGCTGTCGTGCTGGCTTCGGCAGCAAATGAAGACGGCAGAACCCCTGGCATCTCATTGCCAAACAGCGAAGCTCAGCAAGAGCTCATCCGCACAGCTTACCGCAACGCAGGCGTTGATCCTGCGGAGACGGGCTATGTTGAGGCTCACGGCACCGGAACGCAGGCGGGTGACCCGTTGGAAGCTCGCGCCATCTTAAAAACGATTGGAGACCATCCCGGTCGCAAATCTGATCTCTATGTAGGCTCAGTGAAGAGTTTGTAGTTTGAATCCCTGAATTTGATGCTTGTAGGACTAACCCATTTCTTAGCCAATATTGGACACTTGGAGGGCGCAGCTGGTGTTGCCGGTATCATCAAGGCTGCTTTGGCTGTAGAAAGAGGCCTGATACCTCAGAACCTGTGGTAAGTCTTCAAACGAGAGCGAAGGTTGAAGAATTCTTTACTAAGTCATCCTTGTCAGGTTTGAGGAACTCAACCCCCAGATCCAGCTCCCAGAGAACGTCAAGGTTCCCACTACACTTCAAGTGTGGCCGCACAGTGGCCCAAGACGGGCGAGCATCAACTCCTTTGGTTTCGGAGGAGCCAACGCTCACGTGATCCTCGAAGACGCTGCATCCTATTTATTCCGTCATGGTCTCCCAGGACGCCACTCTACAACTCCTGAACCAAGACTCCCTACCATATCCAGTGCGAGCAGCGATAATGGATCTGACATGGAGACATCCAGCAGCGTCAGTAACGACGAACTTACTTCGAAGCTCTTCGTGCTTTCTTCCAATGATCAAGAGGGCGTGAAGCGCAACGTGGAAAGATTGACAACCTACTTGGATGGGAAGATCTCAAGCAAGTCTTCTTTTCTGACTGATCTTTCGTACACTCTCTTTTCCAAGAGAACCATGCTACCTTGGAAGTCTTTTGCCATTGCATCTGACGTCGCAAGTCTTCGCCAGAATCTCGAGAAGATCCCCGCTGTGGTTCGATCCTCCAACTCCTCGGTGCCAAGAGTAGCCTTCGTTTTTACTGGTCAAGGTGCTCAATACTTCCGGATGGGCAAGGGACTCTCTGTCTACAAGGCATTCCGAGACAGCATGCTGCGCTCCGAGTTGATTCTTAAGTCACTAGGTTGCCCGTGGACTTTGACTGAGGAGCTGGAACGTGACGAGGCGGACTGTAACTTGCGCCGAACGGACTACAGTCAGCCTGCATGCACCGCTTTGCAAGTTGCTCTTATCGACCTCTCAAAAGCATGGGGTGTCAAGCCAGTCGCAGTAGTGGGCCACTCTAGTGGTGAGATTGCAGCCGCTTACTGCGCAGGCTTCATCGACCATGAGGCAGCGGTCAAGATCGCTTGGCTGAGAGGCCAAGTTTCCCAGACAGTTTCTACGAATGGCGGCATGTTGGCCGTCTCTGCTAGCGCTGAAAGTATTGGCGAGCACCTCCAATCTCTCAAGCTTGGCAAGGCCATTGTCGGCTGTCTCAACAGCCCCAAGGCGTGCACCGTCTCTGGTGACAACGTTGCCATTGACGAGCTGCAGGAGATTCTGAAGGAGGCACAGATTCCATGCACACGACTACCTATGGACGTTGCCTATCATTCCTTCCACATGGAAGCCGCAAGGGAGAGATATGAGACTGTTCTGGCGGGCATCCCACATGGTTCCTCTGAAATTCCCATGTTCTCATCTGTGACCGGCGCGCAGGTTACTCCTGAACAGATGAAACCATCTTACTGGGTTGACAATCTGGTTTCCCCAGTCAACTTTGTTGGTGCTGTTCGTTCTCTCCTGTATCACACGCAAGGCAAAGCTCGATCCCACGACAGAACCGCTTTCGCTAGCGTCTTTGTCGAGTTGGGCCCTCACTCTGCTCTACGGAGCTACCTTCTCGACACCTTTTCCACCGAGGACCGATTTTCCGACCTCTCCTACACCACAATGCTCAGACGAAAGTTTGACGGAGCCCAGACAGCACTCGAGGCTATGGGGCAGCTCTGGTCTAAGGGATGTGACGTTGATATCAACCAAGTGAACGAAGTCTCCGACAACACAAACATGCTGGTCGACCTGCCGCCATATGCATGGAACCACACACGCACATTCTGGGACGAGTCCTATCTCAGCCGCGAGTATAGACTTAGGGAGAAGCCTCGGACTGACTTGCTCGGCTATCGTGTCTCGGGTACGCCGGATCCGACATGGCGTTGCCACCTACGGTGCACCGAAAGCCCATGGATCCGTGAGCACAAGGTTCAGGGTGATATTCTATACCCCGGAGCAGGCATTGTTGTCATGGCAATCGAGGCAGCTCGCCAGCTTGCCGAGGAACACGCCACGGAGGAGATTTACGGATACGAGCTCCGCGATGTTGCCATTGACACCGCTCTCAGGGTCCCCGACACCGAAAAAGGTATTGAAGTCATGATACAACTCCATGGTCGCCGAACTGGAACAAAAGCCGCACCCTCCTCTACTCTGAACGAGTTCTCCGTATCGTCTTGGTCTGAAGAGATCAAGGAATGGACAGTACATGCACGGGGTCTGGTCTCCGTTACCTATAAGTCCTCGATTTCCCCCGCCATGCAGCGCGAGCTAGCCCTTGAGAACGAGCGCTACGCACAATCTTTCGCCAGCGCCAAGAAGATCTGCCAAAAGCCCGCCCGCAGCTTCCTCTACGATACTGTAGAGACTATCGGCATGCAATACGGGCCGACATTCCGCAACATGACGGAACTGTTTGCGGGTCCGAATGCAAGCTACGGCGTCATCAGCGTTCCGGACACAAAGTCTGTCATGCCCAAGGGCTTTGAGTACCCTAGCGTTGTTCATCCTGCCACACTGGACTCCGTGCTCCATCTTCTATTCCCTTCCATCAGCGGCGAAGACCAGTCTCTTAGTGAGGCGGTGGTTCCCTTCTCTTTTGATCGCATCTTTGTCTCAGCCAAGCTTTCGGGTGTTCCTGGAACTAAACTTCATGGATGCTCCACCGCCCAGAAGACTAGCTACACGACATGGAAGTCCTCCATCACCATATCAGAGGACCTCTCAGAGCCCATGATCATCATGGATGGTGTGTCTCTGGCTTCTGTTGGCGAAGGAGATGCTCAGAAGACCCAGGAGACGAGGGCCTCTTGCTTTGGTCAGACTTGGCACGAGGACGCTGATCTGCTTGAACCTTCGCAGATCAAAAGTTTGGTTTACAAGCGCACCCTGAAGAGCAAGGACGATGAATCTGTCCTTGATAAGCTTGAGTACGTCTGTCTGGTTCACATTTACCGATGCCTCGCCTGGCTCGAAAGTGAGGAAGGCAAATCTTTCGTACCCCAGGATGGGTTCTGGAAACTTTATGTCGAGTGGATGCACGATACCATCAAGCAATTTCCCCCACTTGCAGCCAGCGAGGCAGAAGTCGAGGCGGAGCTAGATGCCGCTCGCAAGAGGATCGTTCTGTCTGAGAGTGGTGACATCACGGTTCAGATGGTCGATCGCATTGGAGAGAACCTCAACAGGATTTTCATGAGGGAGGTCGAGCCTCTTCAGGTCATGACCGAGGGTGACCTGCTGTACTCGTTCTACCGTGGTGCTTTCGGAACGAGCTTCAACACCAACGTTGCTGAGTACGTGGGGATGATCGCAGACAAGAGCCCCGGGGTCAAGATCCTGGAAATCGGGGCTGGAACCGGTGGCACAACCTACCATGTCCTCGAGCGCCTGCGCAATGCGGATGGCACTTCCAAGGCAGCCAAGTATTGCTTTACGGACATCTCCCCCGGATTCCTCGCCAAGGCTGCTGACCGCTTCTCTAACGATGCATCAATCATGGAGTTTACCACTCTGAACATTGAAAACGAGCCCACGGAGCAAGGATTCACCCTGAGAGCTACGATCTCATTGTCTGCGCAAACGTCCTCCATGCCACCAAGAGCATCCAAGAGACCTTGGCTCACTGCAAGTCTCTGCTCAAGCCAGGCGGTCGCCTCGTACTATCAGAAGTCACCATCAAGCGTATCTTTTCAGGGTTCATTATGGGTCCTCTCCCCGGATGGTGGCTTGGTGAGGATGATGGCCGCAAGGGTGGTCCTCTCCTGGACGTTGAGGAGTGGAACACTGCCTTGGTGCAGGCTGGTTTCTCGGGTGTTGACGTCGACATTCGTGGCGATCGGGAGGTGTCGAAGGAGCCTGTCTCGTTGATTCTCTCTACGAAACCACAGAAGGAAGTCTCCGGCCCTTCTCAGTTCGTCATTATCAGTACAGGGTCCGAAGCATCTGAGAAGCTCAGCCGCTCGATTCAAGAGCACCTTGTCTCTGCGGCTCAGAATGTCGCCATCGTGCGATGGGACGATCTTGATACCTCCAACAGCCAGTTGGACGGAAAGTATTGTCTCTCTCTTGCAGAGTGGGAGAACCCGGTCCTTTCCGACCTCACAGACGACAACTGGGAGAGATTGCGCCAAGTCATCCTCGGCTCCGCTGGCACTCTCTGGATTACGGGTGGTGCCGCAATGGACTGCCCGGAACCTATGAAGTCCCTGATGGTTGGCCTTTCTAGAGCTATTCGCAACGAAAACGCAGGAGTTCGTCTCGCCACTCTTGACCTGGAGACATCCGGCAGCATCAACTTCGATGAAGCTGCAAAGAACGTTCTGAAGGTAGCTATGAGCCACAGCCGCAGCGACGGTTTCGATGGGGAATACGCTGCCCGTGGCCGCACTGTTTACGTCCCGCGAGTAGAGAGAACCCTCAACGTTGACGCTTCTCTTCGGAAGTACGAAGCCAAAGGTCAGCCAGAGCTTGTATCATTCAAGGGCTGTGGACGCCCCCTCAAGCTCACCATCAAGACTCCTGGTCTTCTCGACACTTTCCGATGGGAGGAGGATGAGGTCTACTACGAGCCCCTGCCCGAAGACTGGATCGAGGTCGAGGTCAAAGCAGTGGGTCTCAACTTCAAAGACGTCCTCGTCGCCTTGGGCAACCTCGCCGAGAACAAGCTCGGTGTGGATGCATCAGGTGTTGTCACACGTGTGGGATCAGCCGTTTCGGACTTCAAGCCTGGTGACCGTGTAATGACTGCATCTTGCGATACTTTCGCCACATATGTTCGCTTCCCCGCCAAGGGCGCCATTGCTGTTCCTGAGAAGATGAGCTTTGAAGAGGCAGCTTCTATGCCCCTCATCTTCCTTACGGCCTACTACTCTCTGGTTACTGCCGGCAACCTTGTCAAGGGCGAGAAGATCTTGATCCACGCTGCTGCTGGAGGTGTCGGTCAGGCTGCCATCATGATTGCGCAGCGCAAGGGAGCCGAAATATTTGCCACTGTCGGCTCAGAAGAGAAGAAGAAGCTCATAATGGACCAGTACGGTATCCCAGAGGATCATATCTTCAGCAGTCGTGACAGCAGCTTCGCCAAGGCTGTAATGAGGGCCACCAATGACCAGGGCGTGGACGTTGTTCTCAACTCCTTGGCCGGCGAGCTTCTTCGGTTGTCATGGCACTGCCTTGCCAAGTTTGGACGATTCTTGGAGATTGGTAAAGCCGATCTTTTTGCCAACACTGGTCTCGACATGAAGCCTTTCCTGGATAACAAGGCGTACATCGGTGTCAACCTTTTGGACTTCGAAAACAACCCCACACCTCGAGCTGTTGCTCTCTGGGAGGATACGGCTAAGCTCATTCACGACGGTTCTGTCAAGCCCATCGCGCCGATTCAACTATTCTCAATGGCTGAGGTCGAAAAGGCTTTCCGCTTCATGCAGGCTGGAAAGCACATGGGCAAGGTCGTTGTGCGAGTAGATGATGCTGACATGGTCCCTGCTGTCCCCCGGACTCCCCGCGTTGGTATTGAAGCTGATGCCACTTACGTCATTGCTGGTGTTGGTGGTATCTGCAAGGAGATTGGTCGTTGGCTTGCTGAGAAGGGCGCCAAACATCTGGTTCTGCTATCTCGTTCCGCTGCTAGCAGTGAGGAGAACAAGGCGTTTGCTTCCGAGTTACAAAAGACGTACGAAGCCACAACGTATGCATACGACTGTGACGTCGGAAACAAGCAAGCACTTCAAGGAGTTTTGGATGACCTGAAGTCGAAGAATGTCCCTGTTATCAAGGGATGCGTCACTGGCGCTATGGTTCTCCGGGTAAGTTCGAACGTTCTTTCACTAAATCCATCAGCACGTGTTGCATTGCTAACCACAAGTTACAGGATACTCTGTTTGATAAGATGACTGCAGACCATGTCCGTACAACCGTTGGTCCCAAGGTCCACGGAACTTGGAACTTGCACGAGCTTCTTCCCAAAGAACTTGACTTCTTCGTCATGCTCAGCTCTCTCGCAGGTGTCATGGGCCACCGCGGACAAGGAAACTATGGCTGTGGCAACATCTTCCAGGACTACTTTGCTGCCTACCGCCGTAGCCAGGGTCTGCGTGCCATGACTATCGACATTGGCTATCTTCTGAGTGTTGGCTTCGTTGCCGAACACGACGAATACGTCGACCATGTCAAGGCCATGGGTCTCAAGGTCATGCACAAAAGTGATCTTCACGGACTTATGGCAACTGCCTTGGAGGGCTCTGATGCACACCCGCCTCAGGTAATGTGTGGTCTTCCTTACAACGAGCACGACGATGCCTGGTACTGGATTCAAGATCAGCGCTTCGCTGGCCTTAGGAAGACGGCCGCCGGTTCTGGCGCTGGTGGTTCTGCCAGTGTCTCGCTCCGTGACGAGCTTGTCCGGTGCGGAAAGGCTGATGATGAGGCGGTTCACTTGATCACCTCTGCTCTGGTGCAGCGTCTGGCCAAGTTGATGATGATGCCTGAGGACGATGTTGACGCGGGCAAGCCACTGAGTGCTTATGGTGTTGATAGCTTGGTTGCTGTTGAAGTTAGAAACTGGATTGCCAAGGAAGTTGCTGTCGAAGTCAGTGTTTTCGACATTATGGCCAACATCCCGATGAGGCAACTGGCAACGGACTTGGCTGGCAAGAGCAAGCTTCTCGCTCAGGATGCATCATAAAGAGCTGGATGAAGATGGATATAGAAACAGGAAATTCGTGTCGGAGCGGATGCAGCGTGCCAGGGTTAGTTTGTTTTTCTCTGTTCAAAGTGTAAGCGCAAGCTGTTTTTAAAGATAGAGAGGGAATGACAATATATTTTCCTTCCCCCTTTTCAATCACTGCTTGTAGTGTCTGGATGAAGTCAGGAAAGCGCTTGGAGGGTCACCTCGATAGCTCCCGTCATCAAGGCGCAATAAACAAAGAGCTCCATAAATCCTTTGTGATGTTAAAGGTGGTCTCTTTGAAGACAAACCAACGCCAGAAATTCCAGCTGTTCAAGCGTCGCGGGTTGAGGATTGCATACGCAATGAAGTAAGCGATGACCGAGTACACTGGAATTAATAAATGTTTCTGGGCGATTGAGGGCTTCACGCCCATACATGACCAGGGCAGAAAACATTTACCAAGAAGCAGTTTAGACCCAGTCAACAAGTGGATAAATCCGCCCGATTATGAGAGCATAAGCTGTATTGTTGAAACCAAGTTGCCGTTGATGATGATATGGGAGGTGGGAAGGGAGCGTTGAAATTGAGTTAGTTTGGAGCTATGGCCACGCGTGCCCTGCTCACAACAGACCTCAACACCGAGGTATGTGTTTCTATTAGCCTGCCGCTTGTTTCGGCTACCACCCGTTTGTCTAAGCGCCCGCTGCACTGAGCTGTATGTCCGCCGTCGTCAATCCGCCAAGAATAGATGTATTCATCCATGCACTCGTTCCAGGTGGTAGTTAAGCTTCATCAGCCCCCTGTCCTGTGACAGGTTCGCCAACTTTGACCAACTGCATTTGTATCCCGTGCTCCCCTTCAATTTTTGCAGCAAGATGAACATCTCATCTCGACGAATTTCCTGTTTGGCATCTCATCTGAAACCATGATTGTACCTCGCCGGCCACCGCGCCTCACCTTGATCGTCGTTTTCGTCTTCGTCGCCGTGCTATTGCTCTACAACCCGTACTGGTTGTCCACGCCTGTCGTTGTTCTGAAGTCGCCGGACTCGCCGCAACACCACGTCCGATTCCGTCCGAGTTCATTCAACTGGTCGGCCGTACGCCAATTCTATCCCATCTCTGACGCCATCACGCCTCTCCCAAATGGCAGGCCGCTTCGGCTCCCTCGTGTCCAAAACGTCTACGGCGCCGCGAACCCACACCCCGAAGCTACGAAACGCCAGAAGGCCGTCCGAGACGTCTTCAAGAAGAACTATGATAGCTATAAACGCTATGCGTGGACCCACGACGAGCTCACACCTGTCAGTGCTCGGGGAAAAGATACCTTTGGAGGATGGGCTGCCACGCTAGTCGACTCGCTGGACACGCTGTGGATCATGGGCTTCCGTACAGAATTCTATGCTGCTGCCGAAGTTGCTGCCCAACTGGATTGGGCTATAACTACCGAGAAGAGTGCCAACATATTTGAGATGACGATTCGGCATCTGGGCGGTCTCCTCAGTGCGTATGATCTCAGTGGCGAGACAGCCCTTCTCGAAAAGGCGAGAGAGCTTGGAGATATGCTCTACATGGGCTTTGATACGCCTAACCGAATCCCTGGGTTCTGGCTGAATTTCGAGGACGCCAAGAAAGGTACCCAGCTAGCGGGCTTACACGATCCGTCGACCTCCCCGTGCTCGTTGTCCCTCGAATTTACACGCCTTTCACAGCTTACGGGCGACATGAAATACTTTGACGCTATTAACCGAATCACCCGCTTCCTTGAACGGACTCAATATCAATCAAAGCTCCCCGGAATGTGGCCCAAGATGATCAATTTCCGGGAGGAGAGAGTTGATACAGACAACGGGTTCTCGTTAGGTGCACTTGCAGATTCACTATATGAGTATTTGCCTAAGATGTATACCCTTCTTGGCGGGCTAGATAAGACATATGAGAAGATGTATGTTGGCGCAATGGCGATTGTGGAGCAGCACCTACTGTTTCGGCCCATGACGGAGGATGATGTTGATATCCTCTTTGCTGGTGACGCCTATATTTATCCTGATCGAGTTGATCACATCGCCGAAGGTCAACATCTGTCTTGTTTTGTAGGCGGAATGCTGGGTCTGGGTGGTAAGCTGTTTGCCATTGACAACCACATCGATCTTGGCGATCGCGTTGCTCGCGGCTGTGCGTGGGCTTACGATGCCATGCCTTCTGGGCTCATGCCAGAGATATTCAATCTTATTGCCTGCTCTTCAATGACAGGAAACTGCCGATGGGACGAAAAGAGATGGGAGCAAGAAGGTGACAAGAGGCTGCGAAAAGGATTTAAGAATGCGCGCGATCCCAAGTACATCCTCCGTCCAGAAGCTATCGAAAGTGTCTTTCTTCTTTATAGAATGACTGGACAGCAAGACTTACAGGATATTGCCTGGAACATGTTTCAATCAGCCATCAAAGCGACTCGGACAGAATTTGCCAACTCTGCTATTGCTGATGTTACCGTTCCTTCCGACGAAACCCAGAAAACAGACTCTATGGAGGTATGTATCCCCCACCCCTCTCCAATCTAATCCCAAAACCATGAGGGCCTTATTAACATGAACAAACCTCCAGAGTTTTTGGCTTTCTCAGACGCTCAAGTATTATTATCTGATTTTTTCTTCACCCGAGCTCATTAGCTTGGATGAATACGTATTCAACACCGAGGCCCACCCTTTCAGACTCCCGACATGATGCATTGGAGGGGGAAAAAGACAACGCTGAACAGCACCGAATTCGCAGGGCTTGTGATTACAACGAACAGCAAACGATACCGTCGTGTCACAGCAGGCGTATGGTTTTAGGAAGAAAACATGACTACTGGTTAGACATGTATACAGTTTGGATAGATTTCACCTAGATCCTAAGGACTCTACGCTCCGGGATTTTTTTGGTGGATGGCATGAGACCAGAGTACATACGGTCTTCCACGCAAAGAGTGGGGGGTACAAGACGCGTGATTTCAATCACCCATTAGCTAGCAAGACTGTCAAAATGACTAGAGAATGTCCAATCTGTTGAACTAGGTGTTCAAGCAGTCAGTCTTGATGCTGCATACATCAACGGGACAAATCTGTTCACAATCCGCCCGTTGACCTGGTTCAAGTTCGAATCGAGCATTCTAGCCTAAGCCACGCCCCCGGTGAACATTTTTGTAAATCGCTCCACCCTCTCGTACATCTTGATCATGAAGCAACGAGAGTATCGAACCATTGAGAGAACAGGTCAGCCCGATGTCCCTTGGCAATAGGAATGGCCCCGAATGCCTCCCAAGCCTCATCACTGGTAACTATTTTCTTACTTGAGAGCTCCCAGTTGACTTGTCTGTCACGTTCGGGTTGTCGTTCTTGTTGAAGTTGATCAAGTACCTCATCATCTTGGCTGTTCCATGCCGAGTTTGTGCCGTTCAAGCTGTTCAGCACGTTCTTGATCTCGCTCATATAGGAAGCTCCCTGAGTCTGGCTAGGAGGTGCGTGGTCCCAAATGTAGTTATAGACAGGCGAAGCGGCGTTTGCTGGCCACAGCTTGTGTAGTCGGTAACCCTAAGGTCTATGATTCGAACTTAGAGTAGACTGTCTTGGTGTCTCGCTTGCTTATCAGAGTAACAAGTTCATTGGAATACAGTAGACATCTCAAAGCAAGTCATATCACCTGCAGGACTCCTAACTAGCCAAGGTTTTATCAATTATACTTTCGACTTCCATTAGGACTTGCTTCTTTCGACAGTCGTCGCCGACGCACGGATGGAAGCTCCAGCATCATGGAGGGGGCTGCGAGGGCTTTGAAGTGAAAAGTGCAATAAGCATCAAGAATATCTTGGCGTCGTTGAGCTTGGCGTTCTGGGCAATGAATCACTTGCGGGGAGAGTGACAGAATTGCTGGTGGGACGGGAGGTATTTATCGCCAAGGGAGAGCCAAGCGACAGCAAGAAATGAGCTGCATTATGAACCATGAATACGTTCCGCGTGCGCCCAGAGCTTAGGCGGCTCCATTTGCTGTGCCCACACGCATCTTAACAGCCGAATCGAAGAGGGAAGGTCTCTAAGCAATTCGGCCTCCAGTGGCGAGGGGGAAAAAAGAAACCAGAATGGTCTGCTGTTTGGGGAGGAGGTGTGTCGGGGTTTCGACGATTTCGCTACTATGTAAAAACAACATGGAATCAGTGGCCGTGATACTTGGTCGAGCCAATTTGGGATGTCTTAGCCAATCGGTAGACGCATCGTTCCTTTTTTCGGCAAAGCTACCTTATTGCCTTCAAGGTACTGAGCTTACCGATCGGAAATTCACAGTTCCCTCTTTGGATTGACAACTCACGAGCTCTGAAGGCGATTGCAACGCTGTGGGCGATGACTGAAAGGCGTGTGCTCCACCTCTGAACTCTCGTATCTCCTACCGACATGTCATACACTTGCATATACCTTATCAGTCAGTCCACTGGAAAACGATGAGTTCTGAACACCTAGGGCTCTCTTTCAAGCTCAGTAAACCAAAATATGCATTAATAGCTAGCAACAAATGAATTGGTTTCACCTTTATTTACCTCCTTCCCCCCTAGAGCTAGTCTCCGGCTTGTGTACTTGGCAACCTCTTGGCACCCAAAGTTTGGCAATATCTCATTGGCATTTTGCGCTTGACGTTAATCCTGGGCATAGGTGATCATCAACTTCGGTTACAGCTTTGGATCAACCCTATTGGTGGTTCGTAACTGGCACTGGACTGCCGACTGCGACGAGCTTCTGACTCTGCGGAATCGATGGCCGATGGCGGCTGGGCCCGCGACAGTCAGGGGTGTTCAAAAATACCGCCCGACGAATACAGATTTAGGCCAGTTGATGGTTTCATGCTGACTCCCTTTAAGGGAATTGGCGTTCGTCTTTTGGGCATTGTTGTAAAATATACGCAAATTGGGCATCCCTGAACGAAGACGATGATAGTGTTGATCATGAACATACTCCGGGATGTCATCAATGCAGTGCTTCAGAGCAGGTATCAAATGCGTCTTTGGGCCCAACGCTACTGAAACCTTCCAGCCAACCTAACACCGGTTTGGAGTGTGGTACCTCCTCCTGGGCGGGGTTGCAATCGACAGAGTCGACTAAAGCACTTGTAAGATACAGTTGCTATCGTTCCTACTTTGGAGGCGGTTGCAGGAAGCCATAGCGGCTATCATCCGTGTTGATTTTAGCTACCTTGGCATCTGTTGGGCTTGTATGTTCTACCTTCCATCCTAGGCTACCACCCCAAGTCCTTCTAGGCGGCCTGGGCGTCATTACATCTTCCTTTTTCGCTTTAGTTCAGATATCGTGAGCTTTGAGCTACTAACAGGCATTACGCGGAGAGCTATGGAGACGAAAGATGCGAGAAAACGTCTATAAAGAGACTTTGTTGAGCCCTTCTTTCTTTGATGCTTCTCTTATCTCTCCACCCACAACCACATCCTCCTCATCAGCCTCAGATCTTGCCTCCCGGTTTTCAAAATGAAATTCTCTATCGGTGTCTCTCTACTGGCCACCTTGGCCAGTGCCGTCAATGTTGACATGGCCAAGCGCGACACGTCTCCTCTCGACGTCAAGCTCGAGGCTATTGGCAACTCTGGTGTCAAGGCTGTCCTCACCAACACCGGTGACTCCGACATTAAGCTTTTCAAGACTGGTACCTTTCTTGACAAGTCTCCCGTCGAGAAGGTCGAGGTTTTCGCTGCTGGTATGTTCCAGTCAATCTGCTATCCGGGAGAGACTTATTACTGATCCGAAACAGGAAACAAGATCGACTTTGACGGCGTTCGTCTCCAGATCGCGACCACGGGCCTAGCCGAGGAGGCTTTCCAGATCGTCGCTGCTGGCGAGACTCTCGAGGTTGAGTTCGATGCTGCTGAGCTTCACGACCTCAGCAAGGGCGGTGCCGTCGACATCGTCACTCAGGGTTCCTTCCTCTACGCTGATGTCGACTCTACCGAGATCGCCGGCACCGTCCCCTTCTCTAGCAACAGCGTTCACACCGAGATCAATGGCGAGGAGGCCGCCTCCGTTCGCGCCGCTTTCTTGGCCAAGCGCACCATCGTCCAGTCCGACTGCACCGGCACCCGCCGCACCGCCACTGTGGGTCTCACATTCTCTTCCAGTCCGATACCCCTTTGCACTCACTTCAGTCTCAGACACAGGAGGGGGTCTCGGGTGGCTTGACTTAGAACATTGTGCATCGGATTTATGCATTTTGAAGTTATACTAATACTTCCCATAGGTTAACGCCATCAGCCGCTGCCGCTCTCTCGCCGCCGCTGCTTCACAGGCCGCCGCCTCCGGCCCTGCCGCTCGCATGACCGAGTACTTCAAGTCCGCTACCACTGCCACCCGCAACTCCGTTGCCACAGTTTTCCGCAACATTGTTTCCGAGTGTGGTAGCACCACCTCTGGTGTCTCTCGACAGTACTGCACTGATGTCTACGGTGCTTGCTCTGGTGGCGTTATCGCCTATACCGTCCCGGCCCAGAATTACATGGTCAACTGCCCCTACTTCTTCAACAACATGGCCGCTGCCTCCTCAACCTGCCACGCTCAGGACCAGCAGACTACCATGTATGTAGTCTTCATGCTCCCTTTAAATCTTGAGAAAGAATTCGAACGCTGACTGTTCACGATAGTCTTCACGAGATGACCCATCTTCGCCAGATCAAGGGTACTTCTGACTACGGCGGTTACGGATACAACTTTGTTCGCAGCTTGACCGCAGCTCAGAACCTGAACCATGCCGACACGTACACTCTTTTTGCTCAATGTAAGCTCTTCACGTGGCTTGTGTGCCTATTTGCTTAGGTGGTTTGCTAACACCCATATCTAGCCATCTACGCTGGCTGCTAAGCGCTTCGCTCCCATTGATGCACGGTAAGAAGTAGTGTCCAGATTCAGAGGAGACGATGAGGAAGGTGGGATGCTGAGAATTATTGTTGGATGTACCTAGGGTTCCTCTAGGCTTCACATTGCTACCCAAGCACACCCTTGCCAGTGTTATTGAAGTATACCGAGCATAGGGGACACAAACCAGACATCGATATACAGCTATCTTATTGAATGCATCTCCGTGATATATCATGCATGCTCAGCCATGGAGATTTCTTGGAAAATGTCAAAGTATTGAGGGATTTTTCTTATTTATCCTAGTTCAGCACTCCGTGCGCCATTAGTGAATATACTGGGCTTAAGTCAAGCCTGTGGTCAGCTTCTGCTTTGCGTCTGAGGTCCTCGTGACTTCTACCGTTTGTTATGCGCTGATTGTTGAGTCAGTCTAAGCGGTAGGTCGGCAAAATGTTATGTTTGCTCGTTGATCTAATAGCTTGGCATTCTAGGAATGACTCGCCCATCAGACTTCGTGTTGACCCTTGCAAAAAGCAGCGGGACCATGTGGCCACTGCAGACTTGGTATCGCTTTAGCTTGAATTAATATTCGAAGGTGAATTTTATTGTGTTATGGAAAGTTTGCTTGATAGTCGTCTGAGCAACGACTTAGAGAAGGGATATGGGGGCAATCAAAGACTGTAGTCTGTCCAGAGGGTTGGCGGAGCTACCGTCAGTTTTGGGTCCGCCCTCAGGCTACCTTGATTGAGCATGAGAAATTGACATCCGTACAGACTAACCGTGTACACTATAAAGAAGCTGATTGGCATGGCGATGACCTTGTATCATTTGCACTAACGCTTTTTCAAGGCCTAGGCAATGCCCATTTCCACAAACGATGGTTCGTCGTTTAAGCATACCTTGTCTAGAGCTGAAAGTCGAAATACAACAATCCATGTCGTGCCAGCAGCTTGTTACTACCGGTAACTTCGAAGCTAATTCAGCCGAGCTTGACCCTGGGATTTGGCCAATCAATTGTTCTGCATATTGAAGTACAGGAATACGGTTGTTGCGAGGACATCGGATTGAGTGGGAACCGCATGTTTGACAAACTCCTATCCGATCGCTAATGGTGGAGCCGCAGAACTGAACAAGGCCCAGAAGGGAAGACTCCGCACCGATGCATGTTTTGAGGTTTAGACTACAGTACAATAGTACTCTCAATGTCTCCATGGTTGATTGTTTTAAGCATAACATTTGGAACAAAAGTTGGCGCCATGTAGTGGCTGTGAGGGCTGCCATTTGCTTCTTCGCCACTTCTGTTTCACCCTTTTTCATATGAATTGAGGCTGAACTTGTATCCCATTGCGTGCTTGCATTCAAATTGATTGCCAAAGTGGACTGAATCAGGGATTTAAGAATTGCAGAGGCAGAACCTAGTCTCATAACGCTATACTAAACACAATAGTAATTAAGTTCCGCTCTCCCGCTGATCGGTTGGACGTTAATGAGCAAGGAGGGGCCTGTCTCTACCTTGTTTCAAGACCTGTCAACATCGGGTCGGGTTCTATACAAACGATGACGAGGCCCATAACGCCATGGCGGCGCAAGGGGGCGCGGGTCAAAACCCGGTGGTTGCAAATTAATTTTCCATGGCTTTTGTCGAATCCGTTGCTTGACTTGTACAAACATCTACCAAAAGGGGTCAAACGGAGAAGTGCTCCGTGACGAGATGACCACATTCGTCGTTCAGCCCTGGTTCAATCCCATACGTCATGCATCCACAAGTGCCGATCACCCTGGTCACCTCCGGATTTTCTGTCACATTCTCACTGCCGATGGTGGGTTTACCGATTGCAGTCCGCTTCTGTGGTACTCGACAAAGAATAACCATTTGTACGCAAACCCGTAAAAAAAAAACGAAGCGTCTGCAAGTACGTTTGGAAAACATGAATCAAGACGCAGTGCGACGTCAATACATGAGCTAGCAAGGCGAGGAAGTATGGGTACGGCGCTCCCTTAGGTTTCGGTTGCCGCTGACCAGGGCCGCCGCGCGAACGCATGCGTTGGCCAACGTTCAACTTGAGGCGTCAAGGGGCCGTCCATGCAGACTCCTGAAAGGCCATTCCACCAGTTGGGATCCACTAAGAGAACTGCAGACTGGCACACGCTCAGACATAGCCATGAGGCGTCGTGCTCTCATAAACGCAGCTGTCCGTTCGCCGTTCCGATGGCTTGCCCAACCACAACCCCGACCCCGAAGTGACCCCGATCCCGCCGAGACTTTTACTCCACCGCTTCCGTGCGAAATAGATTGCGTTGTGGTCCAAGTAGTCAGCTCCGATACTCCGCCCTCGTGGCCCGTCTCACCCGCTCAACGTTTTATCGTTGATCTCAGTGGCTGGAGCCCACGTGTATGGACGAAGATACTCCATAACTAGATGTTGCCAAGGCTTCGGTTTTCCTTTTAGAGGACTTGTTTGGGTGACATGGAAGCTACTGGAGACAAAAGTAAGGGCGGTTAGGGGTTAGGGGTGAGTGGTGGAGGTCGCAGACAGACAGGAAGCTGGGCAAAAGAGTCAGTAAGGAGATGAACCGTGGGTTGTTGACGGAATTGCGGTCCATGACTCCAGGAGGTGCATGTAGCGGTATGCCTGATGTCTGAACTCTTGTCTAGGCAAGTGGGATGAGAGTGACTATAAAGAACACCTTCCAACCAGCAACATTCCCCCTCTGACTGCCAGGCTTCTCACATCGTCCTTCACTTCACTTACATCGCTCTTCAGCTCCCTACCACCTTCGGCCCAATTCATTCTTTGCTCTGTGAGCTTTTCATTCACTCTGCGTTTGCAAATACCCATTTCTTTCAATCTATCAAACTTTAAAGATGTACGCCAAGGCTCTCGTCACCGCTCTTGTCGGCGCCACCGCCGTCTCTGCTCACGGCTTCGTTGAGAAGATCACTGCCGGCGGCCAGACCATCAACAACTACAACCCCACCACTGCCCCGTACGCCAACCCAGCACCGGACGCGCCTGGTTGGTCCGCTCAGCAGCAGGATCTCGGCTTCGTTTCTCCTAGCGCCGCTGGTAACCCCGACATTATCTGCCACAAAGCTGCCACTCCCGGAAAGTCCAGCGTCAAGGTTGCCGCCGGTGACAAGATCACCCTCTCATGGAACACCTGGCCCGAGTCTCACAAGGGCCCCGTTCTTGAGTACCTTGCTAAGTGCAGCGGAGACTGCTCTAGCGCGACCAAGACCGATCTCAAGTTCTTCAAGATCTCCGAGAAGGGTCTGACTGGCAACTCCTGGGCCGCTGACGAGCTGATCAAGAATGGCAACAAGTGGGAGGTCACCATCCCCAGCGATATCGCCGCTGGCAACTACGTCCTTCGCCACGAGATCATCGCCCTCCACAGCGCTGGTCAAGAGAACGGCGCTCAGTTCTACCCCCAGTGTATCAACCTCGAGGTCACTGGCGGTGGCTCTTCCAACCCCTCAGGTGTTGCCGGCACCAGCCTGTACACCGCCAAAGATAAGGGTGTTCTTTTCGACATCTACAGCGGTGCCACCAGCTACCCTATCCCCGGCCCTGCTCTGTACACATCCAAGAAGCGCCGCAACCACGCCCGCGACCTCTTCAACTAAATGGTTTCTCGTTGAACGAGAATACCGTATGGGAGTAGACCTCGCTGCAAAGACAGAGGACAGGCCTGCCGAGTTGAACGCGACTCAGTAGGCGTTGAGCTCCATGAAGTCAAATCCTTATGCTCGTCTACAATCTGCGCCTGCATGATCAGACGACTTCTTTTTTTATTCAATGTATATCCTTTAGCCTTGACGATCGTTCCTCGGCACTTTGCTCTTGGAGATGAGCTTCGGCTTGAGGCAACCCGTTCCAAAGCATCGTCGATGTAAATATCAGTATGAGACACATCAAATACATATGACCACAGTCAACAGCCACACCTCTTGCTATCTCTGAGTGAAACTACCAGGCTTTTCTCGGCATCCACTGACGTGACGGCATGTTAAGTTTAAATGGCTTGGCACGGCACAAGAACTGCTTGATTTTTGCCCCAGCCCCTGAGACCCATCCAACCAAATGGCAATACGTCGCCTCACTCTTTTTCAAATAAGCAAAAACAACGTATCTGTAAGCCTCTCGCGTAGTGGTCGCACACAATGGCTGCATCCCAGTTCTCCGCGTTGGAATGCATCCACTGATGCATAGAGATCTTGCTATTGGTGAGCAAGTGGCGCATTCGGGTTTGGCGCACCGATCACGTCAAACTTTTGGGATACATGCACGTACTTAAGTCTATCCGGGATAAGCTGTAGAACGCCACATAAGGAGCACAGGGCTGTAAGCCACCAAATTGGTCAAGATCCATGCTACAGTTAAGTCTCATGCGCGTACTGCTATTTATCTTGCATCAATCAACTTTGTACCCACCAACCTTTACTCATTACACCGAAGCTTAGACATGGAAGTGGGATGGCAATTTATCAACAAACACGTCAAGTCACATATCCTCACATTGTAGAGTGACAGTTGTGGAAACATCAGACTTGCTTATGATATGTGTTTAGCTACCATTTCTTTCAGCATGGTACTTGTTGGCAACCATTGGCCTAGTGTTTCCAGACCCGCCATTTCAAGAAAACATTCAGAATAGCTTCATCAACACTTGGTGGGTTCATGTCGTTTACTTTGCTTGTCATGAGCGACATCATCACGGTATATCGATCTCTACCAAGCTTCTCAAATACTCGAAGAAAAAGAAACAGAGAGATAACGTGTAAGAACAATCCATAACCCACCCACCCCACAAGAGAGCCACCCCCACATCCGAGCCATCCGAAATTGCTGCATCGTCAAGAACATCCCTTTTTTCAAACTATCGCAACAATTGCTATTTGTCGCCAAACAACGCCATCTTTTTGGGATACCTTCTCTATTACACCATGAAGCAATACACTGAGTTTGAGCTCCAACGAGCCCTTGCAGACGTAGCAGATGGCTGCCCTATCCGCCAGGCTGCTCGTAACTGGGGTATACCATACCAGACCCTTCAGCATCGGCTGCATGGCAGGCAAAGCAGAAATACTGCGTGGGTTGATTATCAGCGATTATCGCAGTCACAGGAGGCTAATCTGGCTACTTATATATCTACCCAAGCTGCCCTAGGCAGTGCCCTTACCTATCAGCAAGTGAAGGGCCTGGTAGAGCGTATGACAGGCGATACCTAGCGACCTCTGGGGAAGAGATGGATAGCTCGATTCCTGCGGCGATACCTATTAATCAGGACCTAAAGATGCTGATTGATCGATTCTAGGCAATATAGAGCCTATACTGCAGATGCTATCCAAGAATGGTTCAGTTATCTAGATCTGCCAGCAATCAAGGGTATCTATCCATCTAACTGATGGAATATAGATAAGACTAGCATTATGGAAGGCAAAGGAAGCAATGGGATGGTGCTAGGCTCTGCGGCATCGCGATATATCCAGAAAAAACAGCCTGGATCTAGGGCATAGATATTACTGATTAAGTGTATGTCTGCTGCTGGGACCTCTTTACTTCCCCTTGTTATATATAAGGGTAAGTTAGTCTAGGCTTAGTGGTTCTTATCATCCAACCTATCTAGATATGCTGGCTGGCACTTTACAGCATCAGATAATGGCTGGACGAATGACCAGACTGCCTTTGAGTGGCTAAAGAAGGTCTTCATCCCAGGGACTATGCCTAGCCAGCTAGACAAGGCCAGGCTACTGATTCTAGATGGCCATTATAGCCATATAACAACAGACTTAATGTGGCAATGCTTCCAGTATCACATCTATCTGCTGTTTTTACTGCTGTATTCTTCTGCTGTCCTTTAGCCTCTAGATGTGTTAGTTTTTAGCCTATTAAAGTAGGTATATTGGAAAGGGGTTAGAAGTCTAGGTGACTGGATAAGTGACTTAACTGTTACTGGCAAAAGGGTATTTCTAGACTGTTATTTTGATGCGTATAAAGCAGCAATAATAACCTAGAATATAAAGTCTAGCTGGAAATGGGCTAGGTTATGGCCAGTATCTATATGGCGCCCTCTATTTAACTCTCTAGTATCAAAAGCATCATCTAGCTAGCCAGCTAGCCAGCAAAGCAGTAGCCAGCAATGGGATGAGGCAGTATCTGCTATCCCATGGTCAACCCCTCGTCACTCTGCTGATCTGCGGCATCAGTTACATCTATTCAACCAGCTGGGTAAGGATGCCCTAGATACCTATACTATCCGTCACCTATCTAGAAAGCTGCAAAAGGGATATGATGAGCAGGCATCTAGACTAGCAATTGCAGAGCAACAAGCCAGCGATCTGCAGGCCTGTCTAGATAACCAGCACAAGGGCAAGAGGAAAAAGGTCCCAACATCTCCTAACAGCACCTTCGCGACAATAGCCCATATCCAGCGGGCGCAAAATACGGATATCGGCGATACAGATAGTCTAGATGAATCCAGCGCATCTGAATTATCTAGTGAAGCCGAAAGTTGCATCTGGGTGGGTGGAAGAGGGAGTGAAATAAGTGGTGATAGTGGTAGTGATGGTGGTGCCGATGGTGGCTCGGATGTGGGGGTGGCTCGTTAACAGGGTGGTTGTGTTAAAGTAGAGAGTTGTTTTAGCTCCACGTTTGAACTTTTATTTTAAGAGAAAAGAAAATGGTAAAAGGCGCTCACTTTCGAACTTCCCTAAAGAATGAAAGATGCATCGACTATTATCTTATAATAAAGTTGTGGTGTCGTAGGCTCTCTTAGGAAGCGAGGGATCAAACACAATACAGAAAACAAAAGGCCTAGGCACATATGTACGACCAAGGAGCATCAAATAGAAGCCGATTGTTAAGTTCCGCATAATTTCGAAGGACTCTAAAGTAATAAGAAACTCGGGCAATGCCCTTTTAGAAGGCTGCTGCCCATGTGAGTAGAACTAAGATGTCTCGGAACCTCTTAACTACCCAGGATGTGAGGTGATGCGCCATAAATAAACCAGGCATGAGTTGCCAAGGACGTGGTGTGGCTTTTTACCGGTTGACGTCAGAAACTCTAGTAACTACGAGCCTGAGATTGTCGCAACGAGATTCTCTAATCCATACTTTAGGCGCTGATATTCAAACAAAACATCTCTCCTGATATAATTACTGCTGACAGTAAAACAACTTGAGTATTCTTGACGGAGAAGAGGACTGTCCCAGCCATCTGGAAGAATTTCGTTGTCTTTAGTGTTGAGAAAATTTACTGCTCGGCTGAAGCGAGTAGCTCCTGAGAAATTGAGTTGCATTACTTCTTGCAAATAAATTAAAGTATCGCTTTCTCCCAGGCTCGTTGTGCCAGCCTGTTCTCGCCCATCATCTTTTGCCGATATTTCTCTAATGCGACTGGGTGTTGGAGTGAGGTTGCTACATTGTTTCGGGGATACAGAGCTTTGTAAGTCATCAGTGACGACTATGTGGACTGTGTTCCTGTCAGAGGCTGGAGTCGTACAGAGTAACGAGGTCGGCGATGGGCACAGGTAGGGGTGGGTGTTGACTGTTATTCCAATCTGCCTTTTCCCCTAGGTCCGCCGCAGCTGCTCCTTATGTGCCCCCCAGGTCCCCCCCCTTAACCAAGCCCAGTTCCCCTGGCTATAACACTAATTCAGCGGCGTTGTGCTATCGCCTTTCTCTAACGTTGGTCTCAGTGGCTAACCTTTGTTGTCGGAGTCTGTGTTGGCCGCGTAGCTAGAATCCCTTTATAATCCCTTGACTATGTGCCGGTGCGGCCCCCAGCTACCCCGCCGACGGCCCCACTAGTGCCGCGCCGGTGCCCCCCCCCCTTTGGGCGCCTGACAGTTCCATAGTATCGAAGTCTGGTAGGAATGGTTACACAGCTGCGATGTACCGCGAGGGCAAGAAGACCGCGTATCTCGTGTGAAACTGGGCCAATCACTCCTGTTAGTGCTGTATTGATAGGTTTCTTAATAACAAATCGACCCCAACACCAGATTTCTTTGGTAGGTCATTATGGTATTGAAAGACATGTCGTACTTACCGCAGACCAAATGATATAGATTACCATTGCGCACATCATGTGTATCAAGCCGTGCACTTTCAGGAGACAAATAGGAAACCCGTGGGCTTTTCGAACCGTGCATTGCATTACCATCCATAAAATTTGGCTTAGATCTAAAGATATTAGAAAGGCGGTGGCTCTATCCCTAGCAGTCCAACACTTCCTGGAGTGTTTGGTACTTGAAGGTGTTCATTGTATTAGATTTATTATCGGCAAAATCTTCTTGTCGAGGAAGAGGCAGTGGTTGAGGAAGATTATGGGCATAGGACGATGTTTTCAGGCTCAGGAAATGGTCTGAGAACCGGTTCGGGTTTTTTCTAAGATTGAGGGATTCATTTTGCTGCTACCAATAGTACTTCGAAATCTACTCGCCGCCCTTGAAATACAATTAATACTTAACCTACGGCAGTGTCCCATGAAGTCAGAGAACAGGCTCTCTTCCAGTCATTTTTAAGCTGCCACGTAGCTGAGGTCTTTAGTGTTACTAAAAATGCTCTAAGAAAAAGTATCGAGGCCAGAATTTGGCTGATGGCATCGCACCATCTCTGGTAGTTA